TTTAGAACTGAAAAATAAGACGCACACCAAATACATTTAAGGGGTATCACATTTTAGGACTCGGCTTGCCTTCCCTAAAAACGATGTAACCGATACGCTGGTCGAATCACTACCAAAAATAAAAATGCTGAACGTAGCCACGGCTAATTAAAAAACACCGTTAAAAATAAAACGATGTCTATAAAATGTGATATTGATCATATTTTAGTAGCCACCGTTAAGTCGTCTCATTTCTGTTTCATAACTTTTATACTACGAAGATCTCATTTATGTTTCGAATGTTTCACAGAATACAATTTTTTATACACCACATTAAAAAACAATACAACATGTCATAAAAAAGTGTATTTTTATGGCACTTGGTGGAAAGAAAAACAATCGCCAGCCGTGTAACACAAAAATCCGAAATACAAATGTAAAAATGGTCGTACAGCCGATACGTTTTTATGAAGTCAATTATTTTCCTTCGACCCGAAATAAACAGCACCGAATCTCGTTATTGATTTGATGAGCAGAGTGTCTTATTATAACTTTTCTTTTTCATTTAGTTTTTCATAAAGTGTCTTATTATAACTTTTATTTTAAATTTAGTTTTTCATTTTGAAAAGTTTTGTCTTTTAGTATTTTACCGACATAGAGTGTGCTTACAAATCGCGCTAATGTTTTAGTCTCGAGTTTTAATTGAAACTCGACTTCAGACCAGACAAAAGCCACAATCGTCTTAAGCCGAGGAGACGAGCAACAGCCATTCGGAAGCAGTTGGCTATTGAAATGTAAACGAAATCGACGGACGAGGTAAGGACACAAGTTGGGTTTTACAGCAAATCCGCGGCGAAGGAATTTAATATAATATATATATATATATATATACATACTCATACATATGTATTAGGCGGTCAATATTGTGTCGACGACTGGAATTTTTACCGTTTTCCGCATAACATCTATAGAGTGGTCTTTATAGTATGTTCTTTACAGCACAACACAACACGACTTATTTTAGGTACCTACTTTCGTTTGTTTTCGAATCGCTTTTCAATGTAGTTTTTTCAATTTCCATAATGTGTAAAGGAAAACATTAACGAGTGTCATGTCGGCTAAAACTGTTTTTCAGAAAAGCCGTAACGAGAACAAAACAAAAAAGACACGAGCACAACTCTGAGCTCGGTATAGGTACCGATCAATTGAGGTGGTTTGATAAATCTTCATAGTAATTGCCAAAGTTCGAATAAATGCAATTTTGTACGATGAGAAATCGGCCTGTCAGGTTCCGCTAAAAACCAATAATGCGGTTTTATATCGGATTACTCGAATGTAAAATACCCACAATCGCCCTTGTTGAATTCGGCACGATTTTTTATTTATTTTTCTTCTCAAACAACCTGTAAGACTTGGCAATACCTTTCGGATCCTTTTAAATCACCATACGAAGAACATATTATTACTTTATGTAATGCGTTTAACGTCGAAAATCATTTGCATTTTATTCCGAAAGGTATCTCTACCCGCGTAATATCCATAGCTTTTTTTTCCTCGATGGACAATGGAAAGTATGCTGACTAAAGGATGCCAATATATAGGCAAGTGTATCTGAATTAAATATCTAACTATAGTATATGAGGATATGTTTTGTATAGTGAAACATTTTTTCAATTTCTTTCAATTATGTGTCTACTAAATTGTAGTCCATTAAGCAATAATATAAAAAAAAATTCTCATTATTTTTTCCATAAGTTATAATAAGATTCTAATCTTATAATGAAGAACAATTCATTTAGTATGATTTTTGAATATTGGAGAGTGTGTGATTTTATCGTTTTATAGTTTAACTCATTTACATTAGATGCATCTATCTCCATATCTATAGAATGGGTAAAAAATCTTGATATAAAATTATAGCCAGTTACCAAAGGAAACTTGCTGTTATTTACCAAAATATACGATAATTTAGTTACTAGTCTGTTACTCTTACTGTTTTTGCTGACATGGACTAACATATTTTATTAACTAGCAGTCTGTTCGTGGACAATCAACCCAAAGGTACTTCTTATAATTATTAAATTAGTAAAGGATAAAAGTGATAAATGATCATCTCAAAAGCAATTCCCTCTGACATCTTTGAATGCCTACATTAGAAGTATAGGTATTATTAGTTGTTTTGTAAAAAAAAGTTAAATTTGCCTCTAAAATGTTCAGTTTAGTCTCGATACAAAACGGTTAACTACAAAAAACGTTGTATACGAAGACTTATTTTAATAACAATATTTTTTTCATAACAGATATTTATTATTTACCGTGCATTTTTATGTATTTGGTATTTTACCAGAAAGAGGGTGCAATTCTAAATAGTAATTTTAATTTTTAACGGGACGTTAAAAATAAATACCTGGAAAAAAGATTTATATAATTATTCATGAATATGGGCGCACTCATAAAAAAGTGTTTGGCCAAACTACCTAAGCTTTTTAATAGATAAAATGCGTATGAAAGCAGAATACGGTTTTTTTAGTTCGAATATGAACAAAACTAATATAGGTGCAATTTAGGATGAAAAAGAAATATTGTATTATGCCGTAAGTACGGTTGGCTATGACAGGCGAGATGATTGGGCGTGTTGGAAAAAAAGGGAAAATCCAAAGTAGTAAAGAAGATATCTGAGATGATAGTAAACTGTAAAGGAAACCCGGGACAGGGGAAGACAGAAGAAGTAATGGGTGGATATTATTAAAGGTGACAGAGTGTGTAGAGTAAATAAAGAGAAGATGACGGCAAGAGAAATATGAAGGAAGAGGATTACGTGGTCTACTTCACTCGTGTGGAATAAAGCAAAGAGAGAAAATATTAAATGACTTTTTTCCCATACCCTCATTTACTCAAGTTAATTTCTTCCCACGTAGGTACGTTACCCATTTTTATTCACTTATTTTATCTACCTTCAAAAATAACTTAAATAATCTATCTTTTATAAGCCGAATATATTAAATACAAAGTATAATTTAACAAGAGTATATATTTTTATAACTGAATGGCTAGCCTTGCAGTTGCAAGTTCTCGTGTATGCTCTGTAAATCCCTACACCATATGTATCTACTAGACGGGCCAAGAAGTCAGAGGAAATTTTGATTGGACGGGTTAGGATTACATCTGCCTGTCAATTAAATGCTGAACAAACATGTTAGGAATCCAAAGTGAAGGATGACTGATTATTCTCTAAGCAACTGTTTTCGAACTCAACCTATTTGGCAAACCCATCATTAAGCGATTTAATAATCTAATGGACATTTTTTTATATTGAAACAAATTAACACGGTCGTTTTTTGGATATACAATTTAATTAATTGAGACGTTTATGATATGTATAATGAAATAACTCTTCAGTAGTAATGAGGCATTAGAGTATTTACTATTAAGCTCATTAGTTATTATTGTTACATATTTCAGTATGGTTTTACTAATTGACATTGACATTGATATTTCATGAATCGGAGGTTTATTTGGGATGCTGGTACGTAAATCCGAGAGACTTTATCTAAACGAGAAGGCGGCCCCCAGAGGTTTAACTAAACGTCAAATCTCTCATCGGCATTTATTGTAACAATATAATAATGACGAAGGAAATAATAATGGTAGGCGCTCGCTTCACAGCGTCTGTTATACATATAATAACTATGAAATAGCGAAATCAAACTTCCCGTTGAAATATAGCAAAACAAATTATTTGAGTATATACAAAAACTTAATTGAAAAAAACTGTACATTAATATGCACAATATGAACAGTAATTGGTAAAAATATCCGAGGTAAATATCCAAAGGAAATATCCGCAGACATAATAATACATAAATATGTATCATAAAAAAAAAAATTAAACAACCCAACAATTTGTGAGATTGCTTTTGTGAGATACATTTCCCATATTCTGCTCTCCTGAACTGTTGTCCTCTGTACATACAGTAACTAGATTGTCATGGTATGTCCCACACTTCGCATCAATATATTGATAACTCTACTACAGTTAAGTACGCAGAACGGTCGTTTTCTTTCAAAAACATTTTTGTGAATTTTAGGTCTATTTATACTTAGATTCCTTATAAACCACTCTGTTTAAAAATATATAACAATAACCACCGGTTGACCGTGTATTTCTAGTCCAACGTATTTGTGATTAAATACAAATAAAAAATTAAGTTATGGCTAATAAGTAATCTTAATGAAATTTAAATCAGATTACACAAAACCTTTTGAGTGCGCACCCATAAGGTTTTTTACGTACAGTTATTACTTATTAGTCGATGGTGTAACCAATATTTATCTTCAGAACTTTCAAACTTCAAAGGATTATCTACTCCTCGGATAATTTATTGGTACAAAGTTATCAAGTAGCTGCATAAAATAAAAGACGATTTCAGGTAGTGTTAACTTCTTAACTTCTGGTTTCTCGGCTGTTTATAGAGACATATATTCCCCAATAAAATAAACATTAGATTATATTATAAAACCTATTGGCTGTGAAGTCCTTTTCATAAACTCTATGAACTATTGCAATATATTATATTCAATGTAAAAATATATTTAATGAATTATTTGTTTACCAAATATAATGCAGATCTATTTAATTTTCGTATATCAACATTATACTTATTATAGCTAATAACAGTAAAGCGTGTTTTTCAAAAAAAAAAATATAAGTATAAATATTTTTTTTTTTTGATGATACCTTGTACTTAATAGGAGTTTGGGACTGTTATTGTTATCATTATAATTATTACACAATAGAGTATCCTAAACTTAATAGATTTTTGTGGTTAAAAAACCATTACCTAAACTCTAAACGGTCGACAAAACGGGGCGATAATGCGAGAACCTTTTTTAGGGATATATACCTATATATATAATGTAAATGTAAATACATTTTATGGGTATCGCTGAATGCTATATACACATATATTTATAATTAATAAAAAAATAAAAACAATAAATATTTATATAGTTTTACGTACGGAACGCGGTCGTGCGGAAACTTTGAAATGACACTTGTTGATGTCCGTTGAAACCGACGGCGACGGTGGCGGCAACAGCGAACTTAAGTATATATAATATATATATATATATATATATATATATATATGTATTTATATACATATATAAATATACACACACACAAGCGCGCGTGCGAGGAACACCTGTGCGCGGTGACTAGACGGCACACTTTGCTGGTGCCTGGTGCGTGCGAGTAACGACAACAGGACGTTCCAACGGTCTGTCGCAACACTGACGTCTACGGTCGCGCATCCCGGGAAATCGGCCGCGGTCGCGCTGTCGACCGCGCGCCGCCTCTCTGACTGTCCCCTTTACTACCCCAAGAGACTACACTTTATATATATATGTATATATTTAATACTATACGTGTGTGTGTGTGTGTGTGTGTATAGGAAGTATATTAAACTACACATATACTATACACTTGCACATAATATGACTAGAGTATGCTGTTGGACAGCGACTATGCATCATGGACCATTCGATAACTACCCATAATCGTAGTAGCCAACTATGTTAAAAGATTCGACGGTGGAAAGAGTATATTTATGTTTATTATATTTTAAATAATTTAGTTTGTTTTTTAATAATTTGTAACTGTAAAAAAAATATACGAGTATTTATCTGTGCCTAAAAAAAAGTCAAGATTCAAAAAATATTAAATATTAAACAGTATAAACAGTAGTTTCACGATAATGAGAATGGGCAAATAGCGCATAACAAGTACTATAGTTCATATATGTTGTATTCACAACGTTCAAAAAAGAAATGAATGATAAATTCAATAATTTTAAGGGGCCAAATTCTCTATGAATTGTTTTGGGCCAGATATTATGAAAACACTAAAATATAAGCCAGAAACTTGATATGTTTACTAGCTACCTTAGATACATACAAGATTGTGAGTTCATAAAAACGTTATAAAAAATGTATCCCGTGGTGTTGCGGACTCGTACGCAAACTGTTAAAATATAATTTGTCATACCTATGATAAAACCTTTAATAGAGCCTTGCAAACATTCCCTATTTGAAAACTTTTTCAAGCAATGTTTTAGGGATTTAGGTCTGAAAAAGACCAAAGGTAGATATGGAACTATAACGTAAACAATTTTCCCAAAAACCTGTAGTCAAACTTACTTTTTTATGTTTAAAATACATTTTAGTTTTGGTAGTTATTATAATTAATTTTTTTAATCGGATAATAGTTTTGTTTCACACATTTTTGCAAACAATTTTAAAACTCTATTTCAAAATTGAGTAAAACATCTAAAAATGTAGATAATTTAAGTTCCTGTTCTGTTCTTTTTGTGCCATTAACTTGGGTATATATTTGGCATACAGGATGATCCATTTAACATAAGACTTTTCTGATGGTCTCGGAAATTAATAATTACGATTTTTAAGTCCTAAAAATTAAATTTAAGAATAATTACTCAATATCATTTATCGATCAGTAAGAACTATTATCAAATTACTATTCTTATTTCAAAAAGTTATATATACATAAAGTTTAACATCTTATAGTTACTTCGTTCTTCTGGTAAAGTGTAATTTAATTCGAAATAGTGTTGTGTTTTGTTTTTATGCTGGATACCCACAATGTTCACCAAATGCTCCATTATAAGACCGCTTCCATCAGCAACGTGTTAATTTTCTTTAGCCAATTTGTAAGCTTCTTCTAGAATCTGCAACACATTTTTGTTACAAAAATAATCATTTAATTATTTTACACATTTCAAAAAAGTTTAAAACAAACTTTTTTAGTAACATCATAGAAATCAATTTTTTTTGTTGGAAAAAGTCAAATCTAAAAAATGATTGTTATAGTTTTTCAACTGAATATTGAATTTTTTAAATGTAATAGCAGATACGCCCACACACAATACATAGGTAATTATTATACGTTTTAATATTATAGTACCCAAAATTAAAAACCGTACAAAATTAAATATTTTTTTATTTTTTGCTACATTACGCTAATGTCCGATGTCAAACACTAAGGCAAAGCTTATTCAAAATTATGCCCAATTGATTTAAATATTTGAAAAATTTTTCTGAGAACTATAAATTTATTCTGTATATTATCTAGTGATCTAGTGAAATGTTGACAAAAAACTTTTCGTTTTAAAAAAATATTATCAAAAATTACTTCTTCTTTTTTTAGTGTGGTATTAGCAGCTAGGATAAAAGATATTAACAAAATAGAAAACTTGAAGTACATTTTAGTTAAAGTTTAATTGAGAGACAAATTGAATATTTTTTTCTTCTGGCAGTTACTAGTTATACAAAATAACTGAAAAAAAAAATCTAAAATATTTAATAAGTGTTTCATAAATCATAATTTTCAAGCTGTTTCATTACCTATTCAAACAATTATATATATATAGTATATACATTACATTTATTCTATTTTTAGTAATACAAACATATAAACGACATAACCCACATGTGACCGCGCATTTTTTAAAATTGTACAGAAAATAATTTTGAACATTTTAATGCCTTACTGTTAGTTATTATTTTAATTACTTTTAAACCATCTAATAACAAAACTATGACTCTTAAGCCTCTATTATTGTATAAAACGTACAAGAAAATATCAGTTGTCTATTACTATACTGTTTAAATAGTTTTATTATTAGAGTAAATAAGGGGCGGGCTGGTAGACCAAGAAATTTTCCGATGAGCCTGCCAAACAACAACTTATACAAGGGATTGATGATTTAATTGATTTATTGCACATTTAACACAGCTCATCCGTACGTGATTAAGATATTGTCTAAGTATTACTCCTTATCGGATGCTGGGTCGACACTTCTAAAACAACCATGTTATTCTCTATTTTATAAGACCTTATCATAAGACGTATTGTAAAATATTTTCATATTCAAATATTTTTTTAACATTGTATAATAAGTATAGAATAATTTAACTAAATTTTAATTTAATAATTGTCTTCTGTTCTGAATACTTTAAAGTGTGCAATATAATTTTTTCTTGACATAAAAACATTAACGAAAAAAATTCAAAATATTATAAAATGGTCGTCTTTGGGTTTTTCTGTTTAGGTCTTTCTAAAAAGTGGATGCCATTGTTCTTTCTTAACTAATTATTGTGGCACTATAATGGTTTTTATTTTAGGCTTAGGTAGTGAAATTTTATTAAGTAAACCTCTTAAATTTATTTAATATAAATTACCAAAAATTGCAGGTTTTAATTATTTTAACATGTTAACATGTAAAAGTCGAGAAACAACTTATGTATTTAATTTCAGGTTCTATAAATAAGCATCAGTACCTAATCTTGTGGCTTGTTCATAAACAAACATAATAAGAGGTACAATGGAGTTGGACCACCATTAAAGACCATCTGATTAGGAAGTATAAGTACTAAGATGGTAATTACACCAAAATTGGACATAACTTTGGTAATTTCATACTGTGCGTGTATGGTTTAGACTTTGCTGGTTTTTTATACCGTGCTCGGTTATGACTGTGCTGTTTTAGAATGATTTTATAAATTTTGAGAAAATGTTGAATTAAAATGTTCCAAGTGTCTGTAACGATTTTTAGATTAAATGTTTTTTTTTTCATAGTTCGCACATGTTACACAGTTACTGTCGTGTATATTAAAAAATAACTACACCTAACTAACAGGTGATGTTATACAAAAAAACACTTAAATCTATTAAAACTTTACTAAAAAAACGTTGGCCTATACTTTGTCGTTCAATGCTACAACATCTAGTTCAGAATTCTATCGATTCAGACTGCAGGATTGTTATAAAGAGGGCCAGACAAAGTTACAAATTATTCAACGGGGACGGAGAATAATGGGGCGGGGGAGGTCACATGTCAATATGAATGATTACAGCTAAAAGTGATATATAAAATCACTTTTAAATTTAAAGTTAGTTCCAAATTTGTATGGAAAATTCTTTAAACATAGAACTACCGATAAACATTGACAAACAAAAAAAATATCATAAACCCTTTCCCATAAAAGGGCTAGATATGTATTTCTTTATTCCACTTTTTTAAGCAAAGTTTTAGGGATTTAGATCTAGAAATTAGACATAAGGTAGATCTAGAATAGAACTATAACGTATACAATTTTCTCGAAAATTTGTAGTCAAACTTTTTTTTTATTAAGGAAAACCCCAAAAAAAAGAAAAATTACACTATGACCGTATTCATATTCTAAACTGCTATGTGTGAGTAAATCAAGTCAACAGGTAATGAAAATAATATTTTCATTACATTGTTAATTACGATTTATGAGTTACTATGGCAATACATTTATTGCCATAGTGTAATCAACCCTAATCGTATCTACCCTAATACTAAAATTAATTTTTAAGCACATAATTGTCATTAGGTACAATGCTTTTATCGATATTTGCATTTTTATCTGTGAACACTGGACCTCCCTTACTACCCGCTTACGTATAATACTTTCTTACTTTATAGTTCATACTTTATACTTAAATCTATACAGTGCCTTGGTTTGGACTATATTGGTTGATTGGTTAACGATACCCAGTCAACAACTTAAAAAATATTAGATATTTTAATTTTTTTTTTCTTTTATAGTTATTAGTAGGGACAGATTTAATATATTTTTAAAAAATATAACCAAATCCTTTTATGTTAAACCCGTATTAACTAAAGTTTTTTAAATATTAACATGTATATTTGATTAGCTTTTTAATTTAAGAACCAGTTTCGATAACCAGTTTTGGATAATTAATTTTAAAGTTAATAAAGTTTTAATATTAAGACAGGATGGGAAGTGCGGTTGAGCAATGCACGCAGATAAAAATATGTTGTTAAATGAAGCTTTTATTTTTTAGTCGATTATGGCTACGTACTATATTATATTTAACTGTAATCATTGCCGATTTGTTTAACACAAATATTTGTTTTATTAAATCACATTTTAGTTCTTCAAACTGGTGTTACTCGTTATGACTTTTCACTTCCTTTCACAACGGTGTCTGAATCCGTGACACTGGTTGCTCTTTTTTTTCTGTTTACAGACGGTTCTAATGGGAGTTCTTAATGTTGAAAGGCATGGAAAGGTGTGGAAAATGTAGCACTTAAACAAAATTTGCACGACTGAGATCTGTGCAAGCGGAGTCCAGAAATACTTGTGGTGTCTGTTCTTGACAGCTGTTGGGCCGTGGGGGGCGCTTCGCTATAGTTTACACAACAGTCGCCTAGGCTGCAGTTGCGGTATATCGATTCAACTTTAATTTCCGTGACCCCCGTGGCTACCTCGCGGAACGCAATATCCTTTGATAATCCACCGGGAACGATTTGTCGTTTGCCAAAACGTACGGCCGGGTTCACATAACGACGGTTTCATGACGGTGACTATTCGCAAGAAAAGAGGTGAAGTCCGAGGTCCCCACCCGTCGGTCGTATGTGATAATTCGATTAGCAAGCGAAAAAGCTCCAGGCCCGATTTCAACACGTCCTTGGATTCATGTCGGTAAGTAATTCTCGGTAGTCTCTTTTCGATTAGACGACGACTTCAAAACAACACTCGAGTTCGAGACTGATTCGTGCGATTTTCGACTGTATAATAATACTTCCATATTTGTAACACATAAAAAAACGTCTAATGTTCCAATTCAGAAAAAGCTTCTTCTGACTTATGTTACACTTTCCTGTCGAAGATAAGAAAATGCAAACTTTTATTATTTTGTTTTATTAAAACGATAACGACGATCCGGCTCCCTTTAGATTTCAGAGCTAAATACGCTAATGCAATAGTTTCATCTAATATTTGTACGTAATCGAATTTATTTTGAATATGAGTGGACTGAGAAGTTAGGTAAATAATACAAATATATATTATATAACGTTCCGATTATACTTAATTGTTCCTAATTGTGCATTAACTCGACTCGACATCAATTTTGTTTTTTATTTTTAATGTTAAGCAGTGACGAAGATGACGACGACTTCGTTAGAGGAGTAAATACCCCTTATCGTAGTCCGGCCCTACGGACTCCGGCTGATTCTACTGCTTCGTGGCTGGACGTGAGTTATAGCTAACCATTTCTAGTTCTTTTCTTGTTCGTTGACAATTTCAAAGAACCGACCATTAATATTTACCCATTGCGACTTTCTCGAATACAGGCTGAAGAATGTTGCCGGAACGGAGCTGAGTTTTTAGACGAAGCGACCAGCATACTGCACGATGAAGGCGAGTTTTCCGACCTGTATCACGACCAACTGCGTGTCGAGTACGAACAGTGGAAGAAAATACCGCACTTAAGGTCAGCAGACAATCTTTAAAAGTGCCAATTCAAATTTCCCAAAAGGGAAATCTGTGGTAGCTAATTTTTATTGAAGCGAATGAAATAATAGGTGTGAATCCAAAAGGTGGAATAAAAGACTTTAGCCCACCACTCGGTTTTATTTATTTAAAAAAAAATATTTATGTGATAAAGATATCAAAAATAATTACCGTGATTTTAATTTAGCTTCGACACAAACTTGAAAAGGTATTTTAATGGGTAATGGGACAAAAGATACAAATGAGAACCATGTATGAATTCAAATTTAGGGAGGGAGGACTAGTGCACCTTGTTAACTGGAATGGCAAAAATACTAGGGAGTGGCGAATATAATCAATCGATTTTTTTAGGTATGAGAGGAGGGGGCATTGTAAAAGCGTTGCTTCGGGGCTCTAACCACGACTATGCTAAAATGAAAAATTTTGATTTTAGATAATAAAACAGTTTTACGTACATTATGTTTTTATATAACTATCGATGCTAAAAATACCCCCAAGGTTAAAAGAATTGTAATTCTACTATATTTTCAAGACTATGATCTATAAATACCAAAGAAACTCTGACAGATGCTCATACATAACGAATAAATATACAACATACATATATGGTGTGGGATCATGTTTTCAAAAGACCAAAATAATTATCAACATTGCTATCTCCTTTAATACACCGCATTACAAGTTTATGAGATGGAAACTAAAGTTTCTCAATAAATTTATTATAATACATTTTCAGAAGCATTTATACATTTATGGAACTCTGTTGAAAAGTATTAAAGTTTATAATTCTAAAATGTACATACAACATTTTATTTATATTTATAAACTAAACTGTTACTTTAAAGCCTTGGTAAACACAAGTTATGCTGTAAAATAAATATAACTATACTTCATTATTCAGCGAGTGCCTATTGTATTAGATAAATAAGGATGATGTACGCACGCTATTCTTTTTTATTGATAAAATAGCTGACTCACAGTTATAATTCAAAATTCAGTTTATGGTTCGTGTGTATAATATTATGCACAACACTGTTTATCGTGTTTGTAACAAATCAACCCGTTCAACTACGCTACCCAATTTATACACTCCATTTTTTAAAGTGTCAGTGACAATCGAATTCGATTTGTAATCAAATCTCTAACAAAAGAATATTTAAAATTTCAAAAAAAAAGTGCGAACAAAATCGAAGCTATTTGTAACGCATATGCGGTCGTTTCAACTTCTATTTACAAACTAATCAACCGAATTTAAACTCTTTTAATTGAAATATTTGCTGGATTAATTCTTATGTTCAACTTGGTGTTTATATTTAACTCAGTTATAATAATAATATATATAAAAAAAATGGCAAATAAATAACCAAAAAAATAATCTAAATATAAAACCAAGAATTAAAAATGTTATCAAGCCGAAATTTGCATTATTTTTTATCACTACAACACATGTTAATCGACAGTATAATAGTTTGAAAACTTAACTGATTTCACATTTTGTAAAAAAAAGTCATTAAAGAACCTTTTACAATTAAGTTTTGCCTTGTGGAATGATAAAAACGTCTCGCTTCAGGAACAGTATTGATATCGTCCAAATAACATAACTTACAATTAGCTTTAAAATGTTTTTTTATTGACTGTTTTACAAGTTTAAGATAAGTAAACTACCAGACTAACATACTATCGATAATCTGAATCAACATTTGTTATAGTTATAACAAATAAAGTAAATTTAGGCTTAGTAACGTTTTCAATCACTATATAAAACAACTAATATTTTTACAATTTACATATTATTGTTATTTAATATGAACAAAATCTTGTGGTTTGACTTATGTATTTATCCATCGACAATTTTCAAATATTACAATCGCAATCGACAATTTATATCTTTTGTGTGTTCTTTAGGGTAATCGGTAAGAAAATTGATTGTCCTAATACACCAAGGCTAGACCTCCCAAAACGCAGAAACGTGACAAACGATGACGAACGGACGATGGGTGACTCTGTGGATGATACAGAACGCCGATTGCATGAACTTCGAGACCAAGTTTTTATGATTATGATGGAGTCAATTTGGTTACGAGTATTGGACGAACGTCCTACAACCGGATGTCGACAGCTGAGTCACAAAGATTCGGTCCTACCACTCTATTCACCCTGTAGTATAGAATCTACACTAGTCGTCTCGCCCATATTGCCGGCTGATCGTCCGAGAATCAAGTCCAAAACTCGATTGAATGTCTTGCCGGCAACACATCAACCCCAAAGGTAACTGTGTTTGTTTAATTATAAGTAAGTAAAAGTGAGTTTTCACTTTTCTGCAATTTATACTGTTATGTTTTGTTTTGTCAAGAAAATATTCATCTGATTTGGTTATGTGAAATGTATTTCGATCTATTACTAACAGAGATGGTTGTCCTTATTTCCAAAGTTCAAAATGTAATAGAGAGACCCCTTAAATTTGTTATTACACATATAAAATAAACGTGTAAAAAAATTATTCACGATTAATCAACCCTAACGGCTAACACGTACCACAATGGGGTTAAACTTTGGGGTAGGTTTTTCTTTTTTTCTTTTTATCTTAAAAATTATTCTATTTAAGATAAAAGTGTATAGAGCTTTTATCATATAGTAATCACATTTCCTAAAAAAAAGTTGTTAAAAAAATCAAATCCATTACTTTACAAGAAATTCAACAATGAAAATAGTACATGCTGTATCGTGATAATTGTTTTTTTTCCATAACTTCACCGATCGAATGACAGTATATTACACAATTTATCTAAAATAATATTTTCTATAAGAATGGCATATAACAGCATATATATATATATATATATATAATTATAAGAAATCGGAGAGGCTTGAAAGGCCTGAGTCTCCACAAAAACTAGCAAACATTCCCTTCTCCTACAAGAAAAATGTTGCCCCAATGTTTAATAACATTTAGATATGTTTTTAACAAATAAGAATATATCGATACTTTAGAGCACACGAGTGCAATGCCCATTTCTTTAAAAATCGTGATTTGGTGTCCTTGAATTCGTGATAAAAAACTGAATCGAATTAACAAAAATCGATTTTGACAAAAAAAAATGGACATAGCACTTATGTGCTCTTAAGTATCGATATGCACTATGCAACAATGTAAATATACTTAATGACAATTGTTTAATCAATTTTTTTTACTCTTAAGTTAAAATTATAAATTACGTGCTTTTTAACTTGGCTCAGGGTAAGTTTATGTAATCTAATTATATTAAGCAGTTGTCTACAAATATTTGTTTTATTTCGTAAACATTATTTCAATGTACGAAACGCGAATAAAAATAAATACAACAAATATTATGCCGTTTTATTATTAAATGCTACGCAGAATCATGATAATCATAGTTCGATCCACGTAACTGTTTTATAGCTGAATCGATTATAATACAATATTACTTTTACTTTTGACACTGTCCAAGTATTGTAAGTTGATATAATTTTAGTCATATGATAAATTAACAAGATATATGCTGATTTGTATTAAAACTTTATTGTTTCTATAAACTATTATTAGAGTATTAAAATTGGTTTTAGTTCAATGTTTATGGAACCAATCAAGTTTTATGCAAACCAGCAAAATTAGTGTGAACAATTTAAAAGAATCGAACTCTCAACATGTTCAATTAATACTTACAAAATTACAATATTAAAACTATTAGAGCAATAGAGTAGTATAACAATATTAAACATTTATTTTCCCTTGTCCAAATTTCAAGTTTTAAAACTTTTATAATTTGATTACTGTGTATTAACTTTAACTTATAAGTTAATAAATATATATGATTAAAAACATTAAAACCTGTTTTGATATAGTCATCTTTAACTTTCTTTAACTCCCAGGTAGTTAATATAAAGTTCCTATCAATTTTGAATATTTTTTAACTGTCGTTTATAATGTAAATGTGTTGAATTAATATAGCCAAAGTTCTCTTGTGTTCTCAGATATACCTAACTTTTCACTTCAAAAATTCTTATACTCCCAAAACCGTTTTTTAGTTATTTAAAAGTTAAGTATATAAATAAGCATTCCTTATTACACTCAGTAAATGATTTTGATATTTAAACTACTACTTGAAATCAATGACCATAATATATAAAAAAGTAATCATTTTTATTTTATATTTTATCGTCATTATTTAATAAATCAAAATAATTGACTATTTATTCTCTGAAAGGAACAACATACAGTTTTATAAACAGCAAATGCAATTTAATTCCAAGCAACCTTGTATTTTGTTCAAATCTACATAATTTAACCTAATAAATGATTGATTGACGATCTATTAAGTAGTCATAACTATAAGTTATCATTATAATTTATGTTAGCTTCAATGCGGAGCTGTGATTTTTATTTAACTTTTTTTTTGTGTTGTAATAATTCCTGAAGATTGTGTTGATAAGTACGCTCCTTGTATTGCTCACATTTTCTAACAAAAACCCTTACTGTATGATGCTATTTATTTTTCCTTTGTTTTAGAAATATTAAATATAATCAAAAGCCTTGGTCGAAAAATAACGTTACCAATTTGCCACCAATTGAAATCCATCCTAAAGTGAGTAAAACGTAATGTGCGTTGTAGACCGTATGCTTTAATATTAAATATACATAACTGTATATATGAACATGCTTTTATTTTTAGCATTTTAGCACCGTGTAAAAATTCCAATCGCATTTATTTTTGCTCATAGAAATTTATTTATTACAATCGTCCGTATACTTGACAAAACAAAGTACAATGAAAGCTAAACGCACTGTTTATTGTCGGTAATTGTTTTTCATTGTTTCTTTGGTTTGATTGAATTCTTTTGTGGTGCCAAAATACCCACGTTGATATCGAACGGTAATAAACAAAGAATTATATGATTACATCAGATTTACAATATCGAAAAAAACCAATCGCCAATGTTTGCTAAAAGGCCTAAAAATGATAAAGCAAGAACCCAATTATGAAAACTACGCCATAGAATAATTATTCCAAATGAACGGGACGCTGTGTCTCGGTTAAACATACATAACCTCTATCTCGTTCTTATGCATACTACTCAACTTAATGCCAGAATGTTTTTTTCCACTTGTTTAATTTGATTTCCGTGGTACTGATATATTTTGTATTCCGAACCCGACAAATCAGCTTACGGTACGGCGCGTTTTTAGAGCAACCGGAAATTATGTTTTCGAAAAGAACTTCCAATTATAGGCGATTTCAATTAGAGTTCCACCAGGGTAATTTTTAAAGTAGCGGCTCAAAAAAGTACTTCATATTTATACATTTAGTACGACAATTATATGAATTTCCGTTTTTCTTGTTAATTTTACTTATTACGATTTTTTTTTAACCATTAAATTAATTTTTAATTCCTTATAATGGAATATATAAAATATATTTCTTAGTTATCATAAACAAAAGTCATTACTAAAAAGACGGACTTAACTAATTCAAAATATTAATGAATTAAAATTGATATGATTTTTATTTTGAAATATTTTATTAGTTCACTGCAGTTTTTTTATATAACTACGAAAGATTTGGAACTTCTTGTAAATAAACGCATATGAGTATTCATATTTTAACTGGGTCTAAGGGTATTTTATTTTATTCGTTGTGTTTACTAACTAAAGGGTTGACAAGTCTAGTACATGAGATTAATGGGGCATTTTATTTAGAAATGAAATGTATAAAATATATTTAAAATAATTTCTTTATACTTGCAAAGCTAGTGCAAGTTATCGCTAGAAATACATTTCTACATTGTATTAGATAATATTATTTTTAAGTGTAGCTTTTAAATAAGGGAATAATAACTAGTAAAAATATTTTCACAATACCTATAATTCTGTGGTGCTCGGGGAAAAAGTATTAAGTCCAAAAATTGCGAAAATGGGGATAAGTGCTAATTTTGTATAAAAAAAAATGATTTGTTTGTGAAATTAGTTGTTTTGGACTTAAGACCTTTTACCCGAGCATCACAGAATTACTCCTCGGTGGTAAATCATGAATAAAAATAAAAAGTGAAAAATGTACAGCAAAATATAAGACAGTTTGGAATAATAACTAAACAACCGTAACTAAATTTTCTAAATTTTTGTCGAGGAAAGTTTTGGTCAACCATAACCAAGAAAAGACTACAAAAATCCAAAAAGCTACAGACCATATTACATCTCTGCTATGTCACACCTATAAGATGATTATTAATCGTATCAACGAACAAGTGGAAAGAAAGATCAACGCAGAGCATACTGTTTTCAGTGTCCCATTGGGGGCGGTTTTAAGTATAATAATGTAACTGGGGCAGTTATCTTGAATCGCATATACACCGCATACAACGCGTTCAGTAGCTCAAATCATTGATTATGTAATTATGAGTTTTACATAACCAATGCTTTAACTAACAAATTCGACTATCCGCGTAGTAACAAGCAGTTAATTAATTTTAAGATTTTAATTTCGCCTTAAGCGACCTACCGGGGTTAGGCTCTGGAAGACGTTGTTCGCTTGAATTATTCAAAAGCGATTACAGTAATGAATTCTATGATAAGTATATAATATAGGGAAAGAGAGATTACCTACCGAGTAAAAGCGCACTTCTAATGAATCCACGCCACACCGTACAAGATCATAACTTTTCCGCCACAAACGTGTGTTGACTACTCAACAAATACAAGAAAACGTTTATTAAGTATGTACCTACGTCAAATCGAAAACAACTATGTAGATAATATAGTTCTTAATGAACGCGAAGCCGATGAAACTATCGCGTGTAACAATATTGAAAAAGTTTGTAGTTTGTACCTACATTTCCGTCCTTTACACCAAACCTTTGCAAGAGAAGTTGAATCCAAAGTCTTGATTTTCAAATTTAGTAATAGTGAATAGGTATAATCATTTTGCTACGTGTTTATGATAATTATTTATATGACTATTCATAATATATATATATATATATATATATTATGAAAAAGTAAAAGTGAACATTTGTCCGTGAAAAAAAAAATATAAATAAATATATATATTATTTCTCTTAGCGCATGTCCGATATTATAATATCCACTCCTGAAATGGATACAAATCAAAAGCTTGATTACTATATTTAAAAATGTCGAATGTTATGGATTAGTTATGGATGCTAACTTTTTGAATTTTGAATTAATCGCAAACCGAGCTCTACTACACAATTTGGCGACCATAAAAGCCCTAAATTAATATTACGTTCGTATTTAAACTGTCAGTTCCTCTCAAGTCATTGTAGTATAATGACAAAATAATCAACACCATTCGAGATGAGGAAGTAAAAAAATGAGTCCAATTTTTTCTGGTAGAGAAACGGTTTTTGAACTTTTTTGGATTAAGTGTCTGACTGAAACATTTTCCAATTTTCCAATCGATAAACACTGAAATAGTTTATTTGCTATTTTTTTGGTATAAATAACATTTTAATAAAATTTTTATTTTTTCAATATACCGAAATAACATTTGGAGCCCATGAAGCCCTAGTATATTTGTATTTTATATTATACATTTTGTACAACATAGTTAAAGAGTGTACCTACTTCCCATGTTTTTTTAAGAATTATGCACTAACACATAAAATATTATTATATTAATTTGGTTTACAGTTACATCTATACAGTTTATGATTATTGATCTATTAACTGAAAATACTGAAAATCAAGTGCATGTAAATATTTTCAATATGAACCACGGACTACATGGATTTATATGAACATGTTTTTTATAGTAATTACTTCAGGTTTTTGAGAAGGAAGTAGGGGGAATAAATGTTACACGATTTAAATATAGATAAACATATATGTATAATATGATTTTAAATAATTTCAAACACGATAAATCAATATTAAGTAGTCTTTATTTTGATTTTACGCTGAATAATTCTGTAAAGTTTTTTTCAACAATTTGTATTTCTTACATTCCGTCAAGGTTACTGTCATTATTACAATTACCTTGATGAACCGGCGAACTATGGCGTGTTAAGACAGAAGACTAAAGGCACTTATATTTTTTCAAGAATAACATGAAATTCATATTACAGATTACTTATTCGATTTCTTATGATAACTCAGTACAACATAGGTATAGTACCTATTCAACAAATGTCCGGATGAAATTCCGAGTAAAAAATCACATTTCACTCTTAAACTAAAAAAAAACATAATATGTTGTTTTTTTTTGGAAATATGTTTTTGATTTTTTTTTAACGTGTAACTACAATTTTGTAGTTTTATCTGACGGCGCACGTTGAAGAAGAAAATGTGTATATTTATACAAATAATATCTATGTTCGAGTATAATATAATTGCGGAGTAGTCAATGCAAATCCAATGACGTGCATTGGCGATGGCGTCGAAGGACACTCATCATTAAGTACGACTGGTTTTTCAGATTCATTATAGGATCAACACACACAAAGCAGTAACTTCCTAAGATTATTAATATTATTTTACGATCACATGCAAAACAGCGTGATAATACAATTTAATAATAACATGTTCCCTCTTTAAATTCGCTATTATGACAAAACAATACTTTCTTCTGAAAAACGCATAATTAACGCATGTGCCCGTCAAATTCCAGCTCCTATCCCGCCACCATTTCTGTTTCGTTTGAACTCCTTAGTCTAACACGTGTGCCGTACTCGGTAGTTAATTACCCACACGTTATACATATATTGTTCGCCGTTTCTCTGTGAAGCATATTAAGTACTATTGTTGTTATCGTGTAAATAATTACTTCTTCCTTCCGGTCGGCGACACAAAACTTACGTGTATTATTATTAATTAGTCATTAACATGCGCATGTCCGCAAGACATATTTAAATCATAAAACGCACACGTTGGAATAATATATTGACTTCTACTGTAATTCGGTATAGTAAACAATAATTATACCGTCAAGAATAATATAATTGCAACACGACCTACGCCGATCACCTTGTTTACTCGTTTTACAGTGTGATAAACGTATTATAAAATCATAACTATTATAAAAATGGCTGTAAAACAAACCAACGTGTCAAAAATTTACAAAAAATATAGGGTCTTTAACCTAAAAAACCCTATATACCTATACAGTGATAAACTTTTATTTTTATATACTATGTAAACATTTGTAAAGCGTTCAATGTTTCTGAGAGTAATATTAAAAATTGTACGAATACTTTAAACTGCAGCTGACATAATTAAATATATAATTTATTTATTAGTATTAAATACTATTTCATATTTTATTCAAACTTATTTTATAAAATAATTTGATTTGTACTTTACTTACTACACTTTATTTTTCAATTACATAGTTATCTACAATGGTATAAGTAGAGCAGTCCTAAACTGGAAACCAATGGGAAAAATACCTCGAGGGAGGCCCAGGAAAAGATGGCTGGATGTTGTGGAAAAAGACCTTGAAAAATTGGGAGTACAGGAATGGAGGGAATTAGTTCAGGATCGAGAGAAATGGAGGGATATTATGATGGCGGCCAAAACTCTTAGAGAGTATTAAGTGCCATAGGAAGAAGAAGAAGATAGATCTACAATCCTACCATTAATAATTTAAGTTCTTCGTCTAATTAATTTTCATTGATCTTTGCTACTCGATGAGTGTTATTTGAATTACATATTAATAGACAATCGAAAAATAGGACTATTCGTTTGTTTTCAATTGCTCGCAGTTTAGTTTAATAGGATTTAGTCGAAATAATGAGTTAAAAGGTAATGGCAAACCAGCGGTACCAGCGAAGTACCATTATACCAATGAATGCCACTATAAATATAAATCTTAAATTTAACATTGCATCAAGACCCGGAAAGTCAATACAGCTGTTAAAAACATAATATATATGCCTAGTCACGAACAACATATTCTTAGTCAATGGTATTATAAAATATTTTATGATGGGCCCATTATGTTTCAGCTTTGTATTAAATCAAAAACAAGGCCGCACGTTTTATTTCTTCAATGTTCACATTACAGATTTTATTTAACTTTTGATTTACAAAAAAATTAATTATTTCAAAGATTTGATGAAGTTTTAAAATAACAATAAAAACTATCAGATGACCATTCATATTCTATTTTATATATAAAAAAAATGGCACAATGCAATGTTTTTGCCAACTTTGCACTCGGGTCGTTGTGACGACGAGCATGTCATTTAATTTCCCTGCTTTTATTTAATTTTGTGAATAGGCGCACTATACATCAGCTTGTAGCTAAACAATTAACATAATATTATTTGATTTCCATTTTCCCTGCTAATTTATTTTGCCGTGTCAACTTGCAATTAACTCTATTATAATTATATTTTGTTTTACGTAATAGTCTCGGTGTATCACTTATATAAACTAATTTCAATGTGTATATTTATATATATATAGCGATCAGTATACTCACAGCCCGTTTTATTGATCGAAAACATGTCTCACGGGATAAACTATGACATTTCGTAGAGTAATAGAATTTTTATAATTTGTTTTTTTTATAGAAACTTACAACTGTCTTCGATTTTTTGTTTAATCGCCAAAATTATGAAAAGTGTACTTTTAATAAGATACTTACAATTTCTATGACGGTTTTTGAAAAACAAACTTTTAAAAATCAGAGAACCGCGCTGACTGTAAAATGTTTTAACTAAAAAATGATTCAAAGATTTTCCCGTAACTATTTTTAACCAACAAAATGATATTGAATGTATTTCTAAAAGATAATTCGAAGCACTATTATTTGAAAATGAATTTTGAATTTTTGAATACGCATAGTTTTATGATATTATGTATAAAAATCAAAAAGTCTAGTAGCTATTTTCGTTAGTCTAGATTAAAAGTCAAGTACAGTTTCGCTGCGTCTCAGCCCCGGCCTTTTTTCGTACGTAAAATCTAGTAATTTATGTTTGTTACAACTGGTAGTTACTTTTAAAACTTAACTTTAGAACGTATAAAAATCATTACGATAACGTTGTAATGCGGCGATAACGACGATTTTCTGATTTTTCAAAAGATTACGGACAAGACTAAACGATGGTTTTCGGCTGTCGGTGCTCCGGGCAGGAACCACGTGCCCTCGCGGCCGGCCACTTCGGCCTTTCAGTTATTGAACTCGCATACGGAGGATACCCCAACGGTAAGCTATATTATAACCGACCATTGTTTTGTTTGACATTGGTTTTTCCATAAAACTGTTTTGCGTCGGTAGATAAACGTGCGTTTCGACATATCCATCGACGGCAAGAGCATCAAAGGGCTGCGGAAAAAAAGTTTTTACCATAATAACAATGATTATCGTTCGTCGTCCATTTGGCCGCGTAGCCCAAAATGAATACAACTCCACATAATAATGTTAATATTATACTCGGAAGTTGTAGAAAACCGCAGCTGTACAGGTTGACGGCGACTGGCTGTCTGTGGGCATGGAAATAAAATAAAACGATGATCAATGCCGTCATGAGTACACGGTAACTATACATTAAATCGTATAGGAACAATTCAAGCCCGAAGTTAAATTTACTTTCCCCACCGCCGAAATCGAAGTACACTTGTCTTGTGTGTTTTTATTTTTACACTGTGGCGGCCGGTCTGTCGCCACAGCAGTAGCGGCGGCGGAAGGTCAAGCCCGTCCGAAGGTGAGTCGGTTTGGCAGAACGGCAATTCGTGCTAGGATTTCTACAATATTACATGTATCTGTGCCCTATAGGATACATACAAACTGCTGGTCGTGCATGCATATATAATTATTGTTGTTGTTTTTATTATTATACTATGATCCGAAATTTTCGTCCGGAGTACCGCAGTAGTGTTTTGGACAACGTTGCCACCGCTGCCGCCTCCAACACCGGTAGTGCACGTCCACCTTTTGTAAGCAAAGTCCGTTGGCCGCCGGTATCAAAAGTCCTCTAATATATTTTATAATATCGTTGTCGGTTGACTTTTAAAAAAATCGATAAACAATAATAATATTATGCGCTTTCGGACTGGTTCTGCCGGAAACCGACATCGGCTGTGTTCTTAATTTTATTGAACTCCATCGAAAAACTTACATCCGTCCGGTACAGACAAGCGGCGGCCAGAAACATGTATAATATTACCCTACAACTATTCGGGCAATAGTCAACATCGAATTGGCTACATATTTTCAAAACAGTGTGTAATTACCGCTCATGCACAACTAACTATGCACAACATGTACAACAACAACGTGTACGGCAAGCTCGAGATGAACGAGTACAAGTATTCCAAGACGGCGGCCATGCTCGACAAACTCGTTCACGTGATAAGGATATTCGGCGTGTTCACGGCCATAGGTGAGTTTGAATGATCCATATTATTTTTATTATTATCAGATAAACCTATTAATTAATAATATTTTCATCACTAGTCAGAAGACAGGCCAACAAAAAATATGTACCGACACTTGTCCGCCGATGATCACACATTAAAATGCGCTATAAAAATAACTTGTTTTCTTTTTGTTGTATTCAATTTTTTAACTTTAATCAGGACACAATCTGGACCGGATATAACTTAACCTTTGGCCGTTACTGACGGACTATCTTCCTTTTAATTTTTCAACCTCTTACTGCTAAATTATTTTTATTTCCAAACAACGTATTTTGACAACTGTAATTGTTTCATTATTCATTTAAATATTGGTTAACTGTTATACGCCAGAATCAACAATATCACTATAAATTTCATTTTTATGTTTATAAAAAAATGCCTTCATCTTAGACCCATTTTATATTATATTGATCCGTAGCTCGTATGGTTACTTAAACACCAAGGTTAGTCATACCCAGCGTGTTTATTTATCGAAGATAAATATATATTTTTATCTTTCTGACAAAGCGAGTTAATTTTTGGGTTTTGTTAGCCTAAGCTTTAAGTTTATTTTTTATTTAAAAATATATTTACAATCTGTAATGTTAGGTACAATGAGTAAATTTGAAGAAAAATATACAATGACAGGACGACATGATAGAAGGGGGTGTCCAGTAACACTACTTCAAATAGATTTAATTACATAATTAAATAGTTGTTATAAACTGCTTAATTTTGCTTAGTTTGTTTTTGTTTTTAGTTTTTAAGAAAGTCACGTGATCAATATCGTTTTAAACAACGAGGTGGATTGTTGTTAGGGAGCGTAAGAGAAGAAATATTGGATATCAGTGGATTCGGATGATTTATAGTGTTAGAGTGGAATTTTTTATAGTGAGTGGATGCAAGAACAAAAATAGTAGGAACATTGAGGTCGTGGTGAAGTGTACGATTACTTACATACCACGGCGATTTAATTAAGAGACGGAGGTTAATTGATTGAAAGGATTGAAATTTAAGAGATATTTTTTTAGTTTTAATGTGAGTAGCCCAGGTTAGTAACTTTAAGTTAACTTTTTTTCATCAATATTTTCCCCGATCTATAGAACTTTCCTATTATGGAAAGTAACATTTATTTAAAATCTAAATGACAATTGAGGAGATAATTTTAATAATAAAATATAAAAATGTTTTTTCTAGAACCATAATTAACTTGTGTAAGCGGATCTTTGAACTCATACTAAAATAACTTAACATTTTATTAAATATAAATCATCAACCATAGTCTGATAACTTATGAAAAAATATTAAAATAATAAGTCGACTCTCGTGCATTCTACTGTAACAAATATATTTCATTAAAATGTTATTTTTTAAATTTATTTTCAGTTATGTTTGGCGTGGGCGTTGACATTGCGATCCACCAATACGTTTTTGGGTTTTATATAATGTAAGTATACGTCACTTGTATTATTGGAATTTATAATGAATGTTTATTTGTGTTAAACAAATCAAATATAACGATGACCGCTTGTCGATGGACGTTTTCGCTATTTATTTTACTGATCAGTCGACATTAAATAGCGGTTAAATATAGATGAATGCTTATTGACAATGCACTACTAAACAAACATTAATTGCATAACTATTCTGCTGCTATTGATGTCGTGAAGGTCGAAGAACATAATATGACAAGTTTCATGCACTTTAGGACAATGACGCTAACATCTTATGTTCATATTTGGCCCAATAATGGTATATTTATTTTAACTAATAAGAAAATTGGCATTTGACGGGATACTTGCTACGGTTAAATAAGTTATATTTTATCCCCGCTTGATACATAATAGTTTGCTTTAATTAAATGATCAAAGTTAAAAAAAAAATGAAATAATTGTATAACATATGTATTTTAAAACTATAAAATACGTACACTTGTTTTGAGGACATTTTTTTGGAACTTATTCAAACATTTTATCTGAATAACTGTTTGTTCATTTATCGGAACACAAAATAAAAAAAAACCATTTACAAGCTGTGTCATTACTTAATCAATCGATGGCCTGATCTCAGTAGTCGTTACCTACTAACTTTGTGTCACTGCATTATTAAATTATGATTTATGAGTTGTAACCGGAACAGCCATACTTGACACAAATATTGTATATTACCCTAGTGAAATGCCCTGAAGGTTTCTGATTTTCCCAGAACTGCTTTCATTTGTAACATTTCCATTTTTGATATAATACGTGAACCAAAAGCAGCTAACTATAGATACTATTGAAAGTTATAAATAAACATGATTCACTTTGTTTGTAAACGGATAATATAATTTTATTCTAAGACTAAGTTTTTATAGAACGCCTTTGACATTTAGGTATATTTAAAACAACCGGACTAGTTCGTTGCAATAAAATTAATTATTTCTAAACATCATCATCATTTACTCAAAAGATAATTGAAATTTTGTACAATACTACATTTTTATATGGCTTATAAAAACGTTAATAGTAATATTAACATTTTTAAAATGGCTACAAAATAAATTTTGTCCAATTAAAATTTGAATACAACAGACAATGTAGATAAACAAACTGTTAGGTACCAACGACGTTACATCACCCCTCAAATGAAAATTTAAAATATGCCACTGCTTTATAATATAACTTTATCATATGTAATTATAATTATTATGATATAAATATAAATAGTTATAGATAATATATTTATAACTAAATTTGTATCTTTTAATTTTGGACAGTCAGGATATTCCATATTCCTTAGGATATTCGTAATTCTTTTGTTGAACATTAATATTCATTAAAGGACAAAAAATAGTAAAATGTATCTTTTTATAAAATCCGGAGTTTTAATGCCATATCCTTAAAAATAATATTAAGAAATCGATTAGTGGAAAATTATAACAGCATGTAAGCAGATAATCTCATGGTTTTAACCTTTAATTTTAACATAATGTTTTATAAACGATTTAAAAACAATATTATGTCGGGCACAGTTATTTTTTTTTTTACTTGTTAAATTAATTTAAAAAACTTAGATAAGTTCAAAGTTACTTGAAAAATAATAAAACATAGGTATGCAGTCAATAATTTGTACAGTTTCAATAAAAATTAATTTTGAGTAAGTATGAACGTTTTCGAAACATCTAAGATTTACAGTCTAACAAACGCGAGGTAAAAATATTAGAAGGGAATTTACTTTTCAAAGTAGCTTTGCTACTGTGTAAAATTAAAAATTGTTTTAAAACTTGGTAAGTTCATAGTTATTTGAAATAGCAACTTATAACGAAACTTTTAACTTTCTAACTCGTTAGTGTCCAACCTTAAATATTTGTTAGTTGCCTATGTTATAACAGTATAAAGATAATTAAATATAGGTATACGTTACTATTCAATTTTTAAAATCTAGTGTTCTGGAAAATACTAAAAATGTTAAATCTTTGGTCATTTTATAGTAATTATTAATAAAACTAATTTGAGTATAAAAGTAGGTATTACGTATAAAACTGCACACAGACCGTTATTGTAAAAAAAAAAACTATAACCTCATTTATACAATCCATAAATATGTTTAATAACTATATTTATATATTTATGTGCTGTTTGTGTGAGTGTAACCAATATTTTAAGGCCCGATGAGTTTTTAACACATTTACCCAAATCCCCTGGACAATCCCTCGGGTGAACACATGGTATAATTATAAAAGGAGTATGGTGAAAAAATATTTTTTTTCATGCTTTTCCACAAAATTATAAACTTATAACTAGCAAAACTGATAAATTAGGTATAGTTAAAACGCTGGACAAAACTTCTCTATTATTTTTTTGCTCTAAGGTTGCTCTAACAATAAATTAGAGTGACGGAGGAAGCGGTAATAATCATTTTTCAGAATTAATCTATAGAATATTTAATGTTTATTAATTGTTACGTTTAAACGAAAATTACTGATTACCTTGCAAACTCTAACGTTAGGTTAAGCTAATAGAAAAAAAAAATGTTCACAAAATTTCACCACTGTAGTTCAATATTTACCCGACCCGATGAACAGTTAAAGTTTTGCATTTGAATAACATTAGGTTTTCGTAACTTTTTGTTTGCACATGTGTGGGAAAAAATCTAAAACCAATGAGTTAAGCTCAAGAAAATCATAGACTTTCAACATGATTTTTATTGAATAGGTTTACCTATAATATATAATATTTTAAAAATAATGTACAAAATACACATGAAAAACATAGAAACTGCATGTACAGTTGAAATTATAAATATAAATTCACAAGCATACAGATGTATATTAAAATCATTTTTAAAAATACAATGCGTATGTATAATGCACCAGATTCGAAATCGACAGAAAAGTAGCTATCAATTGAAAAATGTCATCAGGTTCTCAATCCATAAGGCCTATAGAGTCATATTCTGTATATTATTTTAAAAAAATTATATTTAATGAAAGTCATGTGGAAAGTCCATGAAATTCTCGAACTTTAAGCACACACAAACCAATAAACAAAAAGTCACGAAAACCTAAAGTTATTCAAATGCAAAACTTTTACTTCTCACCGGGCCGGGTAAAATATTGAAATACAGTGCGGTGAATTTCGTGTGCCTACATTTTTTTCCAGGGGTAAGAAGCAAAAAAAAGCACTTGGAGCATAAGTTTTTGACCAAAGCGAAAATAACGGACAACCTTATATACTAGCACATTTTTCACTGTTTTTTTCCTAATTGAAATAACTTGGAAAAAGTGAAGTGAGAGATAATAATTTTGCCGTTCACGCCTTGTTGTTAAAATGAAAATACCATTATATTCAAAACTAGAACATTAATTATGATATTTGAAGATAACAACAATATTATTTCTCAACGTACAGCTGCGGTATAAACAAATTGCAAAACAATTAAGAGTCCTCATAATTACTGTCGAATAATCTTCCAAATCGTCCGTGTTCGTATTACGTATATTGATGTTAAGCCATTAATCCTTTTTAACGACTACACGAGCCGGAACAAAGGATATGCGCCGGTAAAATACGAGAATTAGGTCAGCGCCAAAGAAAATACAACAAGGAAAAACTATAAATAAAATTTACCTTGTGCGCTGTAAGGTGTTAAACAAACGTAGTTTTCTGTTGAAAAACTGACAATTATTACCAATAAAAATATGATAAATTATTCATTAGCCTTAATGATTCGTATGCATTAGTAGTTATACGATACAACACAATTTTTTATATTATAAAATATATTATATTTGTAAAAAACAATACAATATTATTATAAATACCTACGTTTTTAGAAAGTGCAAATAAATTGATTTCTTTGGCAGTTTAAGCTGCTTTCGGTGGATTTACTATACTTTATATTTATTGTACACTTATAAATATATATATAATATACATTTTTTTTTTTTTGTAGATCATTGTCAATGTTGGTGTTTTTTCTGGAAATCACGTGGGCCATCACTTTATTCCTCAACGTTTGTTTAAAGTAAGTAACAATATACATCAATTTCAGTTTTAACAAAAACTATCATACTTAGTGTTTTTCTAACTATCTGTCTATTTCTCTTATTTGGCTTATTAAAACGGTCTGTTTACGTTGAGGATCTTCGCCGCTTCTACTCCGCCCTTCCACTTCTCTTTATTAAGTGCTACTCTAATTTCGAGAGATACATTTGTTTTTGCTAAGTTTGTATTAGGTTCAATATCGTCCCGTCTTTAACGTGATCCATTTGTCTTGTATGGCCAATCTTTATAAACCATCAGCTCGTCAAACGTGTTCTTTTCACTCCAGTCTTTATGTATCTATCTAGATGGCTAAAATGTATGATAACTAAATTTATATTACCTATAACATACTTATATGATGTGTTATAAACCCATATTATAGTTGTAGTAACTTACTGCTGAGGATAAGCACTTAATCGGGGACTTTATTTAAAGAGTGTAGAGTATACTTTTACATTGTTATTATTATTATTATTATTATATTTTTTAAATGCCATTGGGTGAGAGAGATATTAGTAGCCACACCGTTTAAAGATGATTGAAATGACACCTCAAATAATTAAATCAATCCAAGGCCTAATATAATTGAGGCGCATATAGCGCCTTAACTCACAAAAAATTAAACTTCGCCCATTAAAAATTTTATAATAATATAATATTTCAAAACCAAATTGACCCAACCCCTAAAAAAAATGTAACCACTAAATGGCAGAACTTAATTTTATCGGAATTAGTATTTAAACGATGGAGTCTGGAAAATTATAATTGCTTTTTTTTCTTAAAATAATGGATTTGAGGGTTAAGCTTTTCTGTCGATATGCACCTGAATTTACACTTGATGTCCCTCAATATTAACAATAGTGTTTAAGAACTAAAAAGGTATAAATTTAATAATCTTCCTAAAGTACCTATGTAGATAAAAAACAAAACAAGTTTTACCGCAACATAATTTTTTTTAGTTAAAAAATAATTCCTGTTGCTATAAATATTAGTTGACATAATATTAATTAAAATACCATAATATACTTAACGAAAATGTTGCCTAACCAAAACTAAAAAGGGCTATTTATTAAGGGGTGTAATGTTTGACATGAATATTATTATTAGGAAACGTTATAAATATGTCATTTAATTTTAAAGTAAATGACTTATATACTCATTAGTGATGATACTCCCAATATATGCAATGCATAGGTACTATATACTTACAACAGTAATTTGTTGTGCACATTACATAACGTAGCGAATCTTTAATTTAAAAAAAGAAAACGCATTTATTAAACGGCATTTTTATATGTAAAGTTAAAAAAATGTATGTAGGTAAACCGGTAAAAGGTTTATTTCGTTTTAGTCAATAGGGACATATATTATATGTATAACCCTTGTGTTAGGTACTTATATTATACGGTATACCTATTACCTATATTTTATGCATAGGGACGAATTTAATCCAATTTTCGCGTGTTGGGAAATAGTGCTGTGGCTGCGGCTATGGAAAAAGTCTTTGTTGTATACTCTGTTCTCGGTGATATTCTTTTTATGGCCACATGGTTTATGGCTGTCTAACGTTGCGGGTATGTATCATAAAATCGACGATTTCTAATGTTAACGTTTTAAGTTAAAGCACTGGCTAAAGTATAAATTGCCATGATATGTTTTCTTTAAAGGTGGTTTACTACTGTGGTTGTCATTCCTGTATTTAATCATCACTTTTAAGGATAGTGTACATAGGCGATCGGACTTTATGTTTGTATCCAGGGGAGAAACGTCCACGGCTTACGACCAGTGAGTACCTGCTAATTTTTGACTTGCATACTATATGTATATTTAATTAATAGTACAGCAATAATTATAATATTGTCTTGTCTAGGTATGACGACATAACCGATTTGCTGGGCGACACTATTCACGTGTCCCTATCGGCCGACAATCTTTCAGAGTTGGATCAAGATGGAATTTTAGAATTATAATAATTTATTTTTAAGGTTGTGTACATATTATATCTATTAGTAATAACCGTGTAAATATGATTTATTTTTGTTGTTAAACATATACTTAGATTAGGTAATATTATTATTGTTTTAATAAAAACTCATTGAATCATTTCACCAAAAATTAACTCTAGCCCATGCCACAACTCGTTAAGATTAAAGGTTCAGTACACTACGATCTACAAAATCTCAGCTCACATTTTGTTCTTTGGTGAAAAACGTTTTACATCAACACAAGAATAAAATTGTGTTTTAAGTTAACTTTAGGAATGAAAACATTCATTTAATATTATTGTATGATTCCAGTAATTTGAATCAACATATTTTAGCATTAGTCAAAAATGTGACAATATAATAATTTATTTTGACCGCATAATTTAAAAAATACTAGATATTACTATTATTTAGACTACATCACTTTTGATTGCTCTTCAAACCATAAACTTGTTTTTAAAACTAGTCTCATAAAATAAAATGTTTTTACTAAAACTTTAAATAGTACTGTAGATAATTAAAACGAATTATAGTCAATTTGTTTATATACGACAAAGTAGCAATTCAAAACTCAAACTCGAAGAAAACACAAGATATTTCACATGAAAAAAAAAGGACACTTAAATATAATAAAATATGTTTATTTCTACAAAAATCGGGAATTGACGAAATAAATACATAGTATAACAAATAATTGGAGAACGCCAAAATAAAAAGTAAATTGTTAATACAATTGAAAAGTGTGTATGCATAAAGGGGTATTAGAAGTTAATATACATGGTACCTTTAATCCACCAAGTGTTTACACCATTTATACAAGTAAAAGCTAATTACTATTTACTATTTCTGAAAAAATTTAATATTTTTGAGCAAAACAATGTAAATATCTTAAAACATAGGATGTACATTTATTAAGGCACACAATTTTTTTCAATCATACACAATATGATTTCATTGATAGTCAATCAATTCAAATATGAACGAATAAGAAACAACATTGCCTATAAGTTTAACATTTCATTTTTTTATTTTTAAGAAAACCCGTTTTGGTTAAAGTTCGTTTAAACGTGACATCCTGAATATTAATTTTAATGTCAATAGATTCTTTATCAGAAGTCTTATTATTATTAAGTTTAGTTTTTTTTTTATTTTTTTTAGTTCTGAAACGTTGTTTCTTTTTTTTCTTAGATTCATTTGGTGTGCTTAGGGTACTAGTCACGTTGTCATTTCCAACTTTGGTAAATGATTTTGTATTCTTCGTTTTGGATAAATCAGTCATCACTGGTTGACATGTAGATTTTGTATTCATTGTTGTAGATAAATCAATCGTCACTGGTTGACATGTAGATTTTGTATTCTTCGTTTTGGATAAATCTATCGTCACTGGTTGACATGTAGATGTGGATTGTTCACTTTGATAGTTATTGGGTCCTGTTTCAGTAGATATCTAAAAAAAAATTTAAACCTACGTTTTATACTTCTCTAAGTTGTCATATTTAAAATAATTTTTAACATTTTCAGTCATCACAAAATCAAGACTTGACAATTTTAAAATCTTCATAAAGGTATGTTTTAAATAAAATTATGTTAATCAACTATGATAATAAGATGTTTAAAAATACAATTATGAAGAAAGTAATTGACAAACAGGTCACCCGTCAGCCAACTGAAAAAAAGATGACAACTAGATGTAACTTTTATCTTGTAACCAGTTACAATAAATTGAGTAATTTTTTCCAGGTGGGCAGTAACCCCAGCAGTATAATCTATGTAAAAGTGAACTACAGGTAAGTCTACCATAGCACTAAGAATCCAACCACAATCAAATTTGGCCGCCAAAGAAAAGTTCTAAAATAGTTAGCTATGGTGCATTTTAGTTAGATAATTAACCACCCTCAAGCCCACGAATTGTGACGTTCATGCCAGCGTTTACTGATTAGGTAGTGTGATAAGTATAGGCCAAATTGTTGTAAAAGTTATTTAACTGCACAATAAGAAAATACTATTTTTGGTATCGAAAAAAAAAAAGTATCTAATGAAAATAATTATACTAAAAAATTATTAAATTTTAAAATGGCATGCTTTTTATTTTTTATAGCTTGATTTGGTTTAAAATGTCTTTTTTTATAGTTAGGTTCAATTCGATTTTGGATAAAACAAAACTCGAAAGTTTTGAGTTTGGAAAATTTTTAATAAGCAGATCTAAGTCAGAAGTCCGAATTTAATCATAATATAAAAAATTATAATAATTATTATTAATATATATATTTTTTTTATAGTATAATTAACTTAATTGTACCAATTGTAAAAACTGTAAGTTTTTAATTTAAAGAAAAATAATTATTTACTTACAATATTGTGATATTGTCGCCATGATTCTGTACAAAATTTTGACTCGTGACCATAATAATTGCATCTATTGCATTTTATTCTACTCTTTGATATACAAGAACTGCAATTGTTTGTAAATTGATTTTGACGTTTTCCACACTGAAAAAATTACTTAGTATATAAAAAAAAAAACTTAATATATTATATGTAACATTTTTTGATATAATTAAACAATAATAATTGAAAGTTAAAATACTAACTTATCTACTCTCAATTTTAATATATTATAATATAACAGTGATATATTTTTGCCTCGATTTTGAAGACAAGTTAGTTGTAATGACCCTAGGGACTTAAGGAGCAATTTTTCAATGGGTGTTGGTAGTAGTAAACTAAAAATCCATGTTGATGTAGGAGACACATATGTGGACGACTCTTAAGGTGGAGTAAGTTCTATGTCCTGCATATCAATATTTTAAATATATATACATTTCTAAGAGGTAGAGATGGGAGAAATATATCAAAATATTGATTGCAGGCCACAGAATTCATTCCACTGTGAGGGTTGTCTGTATATAAATTGTAAGTATTTGAAAAGAGCCCATTTTGTACAGTACCAAAGGTAGACTGAAAAAGAAATGGGTATGAGTAAAGTAATGATGTGTGGAGTAAATATTATGAAAATGTGTCAATAGAGGAATGTAGTAATAGAAGACATATTTAGCGACCCCGTTTGTACAAAATAAGGCAAGGACTAAGAAGAGAAAAAACAACAGTTAAACTATTATTTATAATAATTATGGTTCATATTATGAATGTGTATTATTGTTAATAAAATACGTATTAACTTACTGTAAAGCACAATTGTTTATCACAGCTGTTAAGATTATGTCCTTCTAAGCCACACATTATGCAAACTTGAGGTTTGTATTGTTCTTTACAATTAAATGCCTTGTGACCATATTGTCGGCAATAGTTGCACTTAATTCTAGGTGTATTTGAATAAGATTTATATAAGTCACTAGAATCTAATGTCCAATCGATTGGATTCGAACCTTGCGTTTCTAAAATAATGCATTACATTAATAAGAAGTAGGTAAAATGAAACAAATAAAAATTAAATGTTGTGTTACCTCTAATTTTTTTTAATTCTTCAGCACAATCAAAATTTCGTTTAGATTTTTGAATTTTTGTATAAAATTTTACCATATCTGAAGTCCATGTTTTTGGACATCTATACCATGTTGTATCTTCTGTTGGTTTACCTATACGATATTGTTTTAAAACTTCACTGCGTGTCATTGGTATAGCTCTTTCATTTTGAAAACCAACATTCATGGCTAAATCGTCTTTATTGCTTTTTTTAGTATTCATTTCATCTAATCCACTTTTTACCCTATACTCTTTCAAAACATCAGAATTTTTCACAAGCTCAATATATTTGTCTATACTTTCTCTTTTTACTTTGTTTTTTTTCTTCTTTTTCTTTTTCTTTAGAGAAGTTTCAATAAATTCATTTTCAGCAATCAAAATATCTTGAGTGCTTTCCATAACATTAACATCATCATCATCATCTAAAACTATTGTAGGTATTACTCTATTATTACAACTGATTAGTTTGTCGTCATCAAAATGATCTATCTGACTATCTAGTACATCTTTGATATATACAACAACTTCTCCATTGGCATTAAATTCTACACCGTACTTTGGATCAACAAATGGCGCTTCAGTTGTACCTGAAAAATCATTATGATGGATAACGCTGTAAATGCGAGCTTCTAGCTCAGATCGCGTTTCCGATATATCACTCGCACAATCGCTATGATTATCGAATAAACCAACATCCATTTTTCATTGTTTCATAAATACTGTTCAAAATGATCACTCACTGTATAAAATCTGCTTCCAATATACAAATATAATAGCTCGATATATTAATGCATATATAAGTTTATATATATATGTATATATATATAAATCAATAAAATATAATTATATATTATATAATTTTTATAATTTATTAGGTATTACAATATCTAAGAATATATTACCAAGAAGCGAAAAAAAAAGAAAAGTGATGAACTAATTTCGCGAAGAGTAAACGTCGTTTTGTAAATTGTTATTGTTCTGATAGTAGACGGCAGTGGACGTTTAATAATGAATTATTGAGGTTAAGTTTTTCAGTTTGGCCATATTCATAAAAGTAAATGATGAAGCGAAAGACCACTCGTTAGTCGTTTCCAGAAATGTTTTAACAACAGTATTAAGTTAGGTTATCTATATCAGCTGTGCCCTGTGGTGGTGATAACAGAACCACAGAATACAACAATACGTCAATAGGCCATAGCACGATAAATGTATTATCATTTATTAGTTATCACCGCTCAATTTGAAAAGCCGTCTCTAAATTAAATTAATATCTATATTATTATATACTATAATAGGATTTACGTGGATTCAACGACATTATGTAGTAGTATTGCTATAAATAGTAGAACCAAAATAATCTTTTAAAGACTATGTCGGCATCAACAAAGTGTGTAGAAAATATCATGCGACTTAAATTGCAAAATCGTTTGAAACCCAAAGTATTGCAACTTCTTAATGAGTCTTATATGCATAATGTACCGAACGGTTCGGAAACTCATTTCAAAGTCGTCATAGTATCCGACGAGTTTGAAGGCATGCCTTTGATTAAGGTATATTATGATAGATCTTGTATAATCGTAGAATTAATATAAAATATAATTTGTATGTACTTTTTTTAATAGAGGCATCGTTTGGTAAATGAAATATTGGCCGATGAATTAAAATCTGGTGTACATGCATTGTCAATTGTTGCCAAAGCCCCAGAACAATGGAAAGATGAACCAGTTGAAAGTAGCCCAAACTGTCGAGGTGGTTTTGGAAAATAACGTTAATTATCTAAGTCTGGTGTTATTGTAAAATTCTTGTACTTTGTATTATAGAACTTATTTGTTACTAGTGATAAACTATGTAGATTAATCCTTGTATTTCATTACCTATAATGATTAATGCCATATTTATCAAAATAGATTAAGACATTATTTCTGTAATTAATATTTAACAATATGTCTGTTATTGTACTATTTTGCTAATTATAACTATTGATTAACAAAAAAAAGTTGTTTGCTTAATTTTGCACTCAGTGTAACAAATCAATATTGTTATTTCAGTAGTATAAATATTATACCTCTCATATTTCTTACTTTTATAACTTGTCAAATTATTAAGATTTATAGACTGTAAATGATTCTAAAAAGATGATAAATTATTATTAATGTATATGCACTGTTCCAAACAATATATTATATATCCTCTTATTTTGATAAGAATGAAATTGTGGATAATTGATGGATTTTGGCATTGTCAGTTGTCAGGTCAATTTTTGAATCTTAGTGCGTGTGTGTGACTTTTATTGTTACTCCTATTTTCCTTAGTTGCCTGTTTTTGTAATTAAGTAATTCAATAACATTTATAGTGTCATGGGAGATACAACAGGAAAAGTAAATAAATTTGACTTATATAGATAAATCTCAAACTTACAATTAAATTATAATTATATTAGGTTATTCAATGCAAGGCAGCAGTTGCTTGGGAAGCAAAGAAACCTTTATCTATCGAAGATATTGAAGTAGCGCCCCCAAAAGAAAATGAAATCAGAGTGAAAATAATTGCTACGGCTATTTGTCATACAGACGCTTATACTTTGGATGGACTTGACCCAGAAGGTTCTTTTCCATGTGTATTAGGACATGAAGGAGCTGGTATTGTTGAAAGTGTAGGTCCAAGTGTGCAGGGATTTCAGCCAGGTAATTTTAAGTTACACTTTATTTACATACAAAAAATTAAAATATAATACATTTTTAAGGTGATCATGTCATACCATTATATATACCTCAATGTGGCGAATGTAAATTTTGCCTGTCTCCGAAAACTAATGTTTGTAGTAAAATACGATTAACGCAAGGGCAAGGGAAAATGCCAGATGGCACTTCACGTTTCACATGCAAAGGTCAATCGCTGTATCATTTTATGGGATGTTCTACATTCAGTGAATACACTGTTGTTGCTGACATTTCCTTATGCAAAGTGGGTGTATAATATAATATAAAAAAACACCTAATTCATACTATACTTTATAAATAGCATTAAGTTATTTTAGTGAGTGATGACAAATTTTTTCAAAAAATAAACTCATTAGACCATTAAATAAATAAATAATATTAACTATGTGTCATCAAATATCATAATATTGTTGTACATTAAATAACATTTATAACACATATACAGATAAAGATAGTTACATAATCTAGTGTTAATAAGGTTAATTTCATGCGGGCTAGAGAATATTTAAATTATTAAAAACAATTAAGATAATAAATAATAATTATCAATACTAAAATAAAAGATATAAAATTATACTTGGTAATGATTATTTTTTATGATCCAATTGCTTCAATGATATAACATTTACTTTTCTATACATATGTTTTCATTTTTAATTTCCTTTCTTCAATAGTCAGTGAGCTTATGTGTTCATGTTGACAATAGCGAAGGGCGTAACTTTATATTGCAGTATCAACCCTGATGTATTACTAATGCTAGTTTGACTCTTGAGTCTTGACTCTCTTACCATTGTCCTACACACGGTTTACTTGTTTATATTCAGTCAATCGTCCCGGAACTAAGTGCATAGAAACTCATTTTTAATGTGAATTAACTATTTTATTTGATACCTCATATATATGAAAACCCCTAAATCCTAATACATATTAACAACGGTATATAAAGGTCATAATTGATTTTAAACATGAAATACCTGACTTTTATATTTTTAGGTTGATCCAACTGCAGCTTTTGACAAAATCTGTCTTTTAGGATGTGGCGTATCCACTGGTTTTGGTGCTGCATTAAACACCGCAAATGTAGATTCTGGTTCCACCTGTGCTGTCTTTGGTTTAGGAGCTGTGGGATTAGCTGTAATTATGGGTTGTAAAGAAGCAGGGGCTCAAAGAATCATTGGTGTGGACATTAATGAAAACAAATTTGAGTTAGGTAGTACAAAGAATTATAATTATCTATGTAACAATATTTCAAGTAATTAATTCTTGTTTGTTTTAGCCAAAATTTTTGGTTGTACTGAATTTGTGAATCCAACTAAATTTGAAAAACCTATTCAGGAAGTTCTTATTGATTTGACCGATGGTGGATTAGACTACACTTTTGAATGTATCGGTAATGTTAAGACAATGGTATGTTTATTTTACATAATGTTTGTAAACATTTTATTTAAAATACTATTTCAAATATTTTAAGAGAGCTGCTCTTGAAGCTTGTCATAAGGGTTGGGGCGTATCTGTTATAATTGGAGTTGCGAGTGCTGGACAAGAAATTTCTACTCGACCCTTCCAATTAGTTACTGGAAGAACATGGAAAGGAACTGCTTTTGGAGGTATATATTAGTATTAAATTGAATATTTTTAAAGTGTAAACATATTTATTTACTAAAAGGATGGAAAAGCAAGGATAGCGTTCCACGACTAGTCTCAAAATATTTAGACAAGTCACTCATGCTAGATGAATTTGTAAGCTACAAACTTCCATTTACTTCAATAAATGAAGGTTTTGAATTATTACATTCAGGAAAAAGGTATTATAATTTCAGATAAGTATTATATTATGTATTATTAAATATTTATATTAATTTAAATGTATTTGTTTTGCAGCATTCGAACAGTACTTGAATATTAACATAGACATAGCGATCAGAAAAAAGATAAAATAACTAAAATAATTTATACATCATTTTATTAAGTGAATTCTTTAATTTAATTTTACATAATTATGTTACATTTACATTACAAAATACATAATAGTTATTCTTAAAATCTAATTCGAGGAACACATATTATTGTTATGTCATGTAGTGTATCGAAAAATATACATTATTAATATTATATTTTTAAACAAATAAAGTAATTACTTCAAATCTATAATACTCAATACAAAGCTAATCATTTATTACATTGTGAAGATATTTTAGAAAACTAAACTTCTAAAACAAATAAACATCAGAAATTAAAAATTTATGAATTATGTAGAAAATTCATAGTTATTGAATAAAAATTTGTCTAGACTAAATGACTAGATGCACATTTTAAGGATACCTTATTTCCTATTTAGAGTATTGACCCAACTTTAAAAATATTTACAGACACGCATATTATACAATTCCAAAAAAGGAACTTATAGAAAAATTATTTTATATATTATCCAGTATAATAATATGCTTCAATAGCCTGAAACAAAATACTATCAATGCATTTTATTTAAAAAAAACATATTATATAAATATATAATTATTTTGTTGTTATTTGTAAAAACCTAACACTGAACAGTTAAAAATCCATTTTATATTGAACAATGAATACACTTAAACTCGCTTATCGGATAATTTTTTTATTGATTTGTATTGCCAACAAATAATATCATAAACGTTTACCAACAGATGTCCACAAATAAGGCCTAAGGAACAAGGAATTGGCCATCTTTGCCATTCAGTTTCCCAATCGAATGGTACAACTATTGCACCAACAAACGCTCCTAAAACTGTGCCACGAAAATTATTTCTCTCAGACTTTTCTAAAGCACTTAAATATTCAGTATCTGGCAGTTCTGTTAATAGCAATGGCAAAATATTTGAACCCAGCTGCATAGCAGTTGGAGTAATTATAACTGATGCAATAAGTATTGAAAAAACAAGGGTTTCTTCTTGTTTGGAGAATACTGGTGCACCAAACAGAACAGAAAAAAAGTATGCTAAGCCGATTGCAAGAATGGTACTGATCACAAACTGGAAAATCCACACAATTGGGTTAGTTTTCAACTTAAGATGATGTGGTAATCTACTGACTAGGTAGCAATAGCATGTGTATTTAAAAAACTCAATAACATAACATGTTGCTATTATATACAAGCAGTTCCGATCAAGTAATAAATTGTAATTTTTATCCAACAACAGCCAAATAAAAACTCCCAAATAGCAAAACGAACTGCAACAGTAAGGGATGAGCTCGGGATCTTTGTTGGCTTCAACTTCAATGTATTCGTCTGTAGGCTTATATTCTGATGAATCGTATGTGTTGACTAGAAAGCTTGCCGAATCAGGTTTTTTCAGAATACTACGAATGTTTTTTTTAGCCATGATATTGCTTAACGTTCAAATCTACTCATAAAAGTTTAAAAAATTAACGCAACATTATTAATTATTAATAATATATGAATAAAATACTTACATATCACATGTTCAACGAAATACGAATGATTAATGAATTAAAAATTTAAAAAAGCATTTTGCATAGATGCCCTCAGCGGTTCTAATGGCTTATCATGATATAAGTTATCACCACGAACGTTTATGGTTATCACTGACGGCTTTGATAAACTGTGGCAAATTACGGTAACCGGAAAGGGTTTATATATTGTACATAACAGAGGTTACCTCACAACCATGGTGAAAACAAACAAGATTAACTTTTGATAGATAAATCCATAAACTTTGGGCCACGGCCACGGCTGACGTGATTTGATGTTTGAAAGTCCCATACCTGACCACGATTTATAATTATCCATCACAAAAATGTATTTTTAGTATTACGGTGGATACGATTAGGGTTGACCGCCTGTCTAAAATACCGCTGTTGCCTGTTACCCATAATATTTCTTAATAACAAACATAAATGGAAATATTTTTAATACCGGTTGACTGTTAATTCACTTTACACATGGCAACTTAAAAATTGACTATAGTCTATGTGTATTTTTCGTTTTTTTTTTTTGTATTCCTTTATGAAATATATAGTTTTTCTACAGATTTTAGAAAAAAATGTATGTTGTGGCTTCAGGAACTTGGATTGATGGAATTATTTATGCCAATTTTTATCATAGTCGCAGTGCTTTTTAAGATGAGAAATGTTAATAATTGCCAAGGATCTTGCGATCAACCCTAGGACCATGACATTTTTCCAATGTCAAACCACCGCACCGCCGTCTCGTAGTCTCAAAAACACAAATATATCAAAAAATTATAAAAAAAATGGACAAATATTATGAAATCAAATTTTTCTAAAAAAAAATTTCCACCGATGGTCAATCCGCTCTTTCTATTGTTTTGTAAACAATAAACATATTCGACAGTAAAATTGCTTTTTATGCTCTCAAAAAAAAGCTTATGTGTGCTAAACATGATTTTTTTTTGTACTAAATACATAGTTAACATTTCGTACTTCTTTAATTAGAAACAAGAACAAACACAGCAAGTTAACCTCGCTAGTTGAGGAGTTTGAATCGCTCTACAGACACATCATTAAAAACAAGTACTAGCGTTTATTCTTTTGTTTAACAATTGCTAAGAATTAATATGTAGGTATAATTTACCTAAAAATAGAAATTTACAAAGAAACATCATTAAGGGGATTGCATGCGGTTAGTTTTTAAGGAGTTTTGTATAGGCAATATTTAAGAAAAAAGTGGTTTTAATGAATTTCGATCATGTCAATTAATTTACCGATTAATTTGTAAAAGCTTCATGGTGTTATTTTTAATTTAAATTATTTTGTCTATGAGTAAAAACCATTTTAGTTAATACAACATACATTTTTTGTTCCATCGTACAGGCTGAACCAGTGATCCGATAAGTAATCTAAAAACAGATTTGAATTTGTCATGAAGTTTACTTATTATTGGTTAGGGTACTTCTTCGATATCTTATTTCTACTTTGTATAGAACACGTTTGAATATTATATAAAATTTCAAATTTTAAAATCAAATTTGGAAAAGGTTAAAGTTAAAAATTGAGAAAAAGTACTGTGACCGATCATAAGTAAACTTTATGACGAATTCAAATCTGTTTTTAGATTGCTTATCGGATCACTGGTTCGGTCTGTGCAATGGAATAAAAATGATGTGTTTTGACTGATCACAACCGTCTGATTAGTCACAATATTAATGAACTTGTAATCAAATAAACTAAAAACAACAGATTCGCCGTGTGATATGAATTGAATAAAAAAAAACAGTACAGAGAGGTAGGGGCATAATGGAAACGGAGCATATTAGGGCGGAGAGGTCACAGGTCTATATGACTTATTACAACTGAAAGTGATAAAAACACTTTCCATACATTATAGTTACCTATACATCAAAATTAACAATTAATACAAATACTTTCAAATACCTGCCTGTTGTCTGTTGATACACTCATTGCGGATGCACAAAGGGTAGGCGTGGATTTATTTGTTATTCTTGGCTCAATAAAGTACTTTTTAGGTAAGATTTTTGGTCTATAGAACCTAACCGGTTCGGCGGTTTAGAAGATATTGTAGGACACAAAAAAAAAACACATCATAGTTTGTAAAAACAATACCTCCTCAGCTTCGCATCGAAGCTTAAAGGGATAAATTACATTTAGACCGTAGTCTAGTTTCTAGGTTGCTATGACCTATGTGTTAGTGAATTTACAGTCAACAGGTGTTAAAAATATTTTCATTACATTGTTAATTACGAAAAATGTTTAATTATGGCTATAAATTATTATAAACAGACGATCAACCCTAATCGTATTCACCCTAATATTAGTAATACATTTTCAAACACATAATTGTCATTAAGTGTAATGCTTTTATTGAAATTTGTGTTTCCACCTTTACAGATTCACATCGAAGCGTTTATTTCAGTGATTTTATCTCACTCAGCTATAATAATTTCTGTAGACTAGTGACCTGCCCTTCCCAAATATGCTTTGTCCGGTGTCCCCACTATGGCCCGACCCTACTTTACTGTTTTTTTTTTTGGTCTTATGATTTATATCCGTCTTTTTCTATTTAAGGCCTGGTGGCCTTGTCGTTGCAGAAGAGTTATCATCCTGGGGAAGTGGGTATGGTACACGGTAGTTTCCCGTTGCCTTCCACACCAGTCGGGTGGCCATTTCTCTCTCCAGACGGTTGCATGCCCAGCTAGGGAAATGGCCAGCGACCGAGATTTAAACCACGGCTAGTGCGTAGAATCACTGCCGCAGTAACCATCTCGGCCACGACGCCCAACTTATATTAAAGAAATAATAACAAATTAAGAGTTTAAAATAAAAATAACACTAGTTATAGAGCGGTAGCTCTTTTGCGTTTTTTATTGAACTCACATACTTGTGCTATTCCAGTGCACTGTATTTACTTTATTTTAATATTTTAGAACATACTTAAATACTTTTTAAATGCATTTTTAAATGATAAATTAATTTGTCCCTAGTGATTCAAATTAGAGCCAGCTCCAATAATCCTTTTTACTTGGGTAGTACGAATTTACTTGGGTTTGTAATACAAAGTTCGTCCTTCACAACTCAGCAAGTAGTTTTTATTTTTGATTAGTGATACTTGTTAGACAATTGTAAGGGGAAAATCGATAAGAGCTTTTCGAATAATTGATTTGGACGACTTTATTTATATAATAAAATAATAATATTTATAGGATTCACTTAATAAAAAAAATACAAATACAAAGGTCGTCGACGGTACAAATTGAAGACGCCTGAAGTATCATAGGAAAGAATATAATCGTATGAAGTTTTGTCGAACAAAACTTGGCTTATGATCACAGTTATATTATAAACACTACAATGGGCACCGGCGTCGTCTACCGCTTGTTCCTGGCACCCTTGATGGTGAACCGTCTCCAGAAGCTCGGTTTCCTTATGGAAGGCTGATCGTCATCGTCCAGTTCTCTAGTCGGTGAACCGTGTCCTGAGTCACTCTCGTCCGCGTACGTCGTAGACCGTCGACCTACAATCGCCGAGTCGTTACCACCCCTCAAAAAGTCTAAGAAATTCGATTCAGACTTCATTTTTCCTGAATAAACAAAAAAAAAAAGACATCAGTGATCTGTTGAATCTGACCATAATATAATATGATAAGTCCTGGAATCTTGTTTGTTAAGTATGCATTTTATTTGATTAAAAGGAAAATATGATTTGATTACATAAAAATCAATAATATAATGCAACAACTAATCTACTTATATGTGTTAATGCATACGGACAGACCAGACGCAATAGAAATGTTTAAAAAAAAAACGTGCCGTTCATTGACCAAACCTCGGAATGTCTCTTCAACAACAAGTGTGAACAAATTTCAAACCGTCGTAGAATCGGCCACACGCGTCTTACACAATACGCGAAACCTATGAATTTGTCCTACTTGTAATCACAACAGATAACAATCAAACATTTTCTAGATTGAAGAAGTAACAAAAACACTCCCGTTTACAAAAATTAGCTGTCCACTCTCCCACATTCTATACTCCATAGCATCTGATCCACAGTATATTCAAATTCTGTAGTAAATCATATCTTCGTTCTATTCCATTAATCTGTTTGAAACATTTTTAGGAACAATTGAAAATTATAGTGTGAGAGTAATTTGCACTTTAATTTTTAACAATGAAAATAATCCATCGCTATTAAATGAGAGTTTTCCTATAATTGATAAGCATATGTATTCTATCTAGAGATACATTATAATTTATAAGGTTTTTTTAGAATAACGCATTATGTGTAAGCACAGGTCAAAGAAATAGTTAACAGAAATTATAAAACGAATAATAATTAATATAAAATCAATATATTCTCATCCTCGCATCAAAGAAAAAAACAGTTTTAAAACAAATTATTCAATTACGAAATGCTTTCTATTAATAAAAAAAACCGTTTTTAATTTATCAAAATGTGCTGATTTTAAAAACTATTCCGGAAAATTGCGTTTACGATCTGCGAAACATTTGTATAGTACGTATTTTTTGAAAGGAGTCCGTGTAATATTTTTTAAAGAAATCATTTTTTTTATATATAAAAGATTTATTATGCTAATATATGTAATCTTCGGTGTTTTAGTATAGGTAAGCGCGTGGTATTTAATCTGTTCCGACATATTATAAAGATGTAAATTAATCTCGGCATTGGGTTATTTTCTTTACTATCGAAAACTGACGGATATTTTATATCCCGAAACAATCAATATTATGCACAATATTTATTGTAAATACGTTGTGGCTCGTAACTGTTATTTGGCAGAATATTGGGTACAGGTATATGGGGGCAGTGCCTATGGAAATTTTCCAAAACGAAATGTTTGGATCTACTTGGTCAATTCATAACAATCCTGCGAATATAACGATTCTACTGTGACAGGTTTTTTCTATGAAAACCTTGATGTCATTCGAAACCATTAAGTACCTTTTCACCAGATTCTTGAGAGAGAGAGAAGATGGAAAATACAGCAAACTCTACCGTCTCTCTACTGAATCATCCCCTACAATCTACGAACGAAATGGGTCCAATCATGAACGTGAACATTTATGATGACCATCTAAAGTTACCTTTCTTCTTGCTGGGGGTGCCGAAACTCAAACTTCTCGAATTGAGCTCGGCCTTTAGCTGTTCGGGGGGTATGTCTTCCACCTTAAATTCGTCGGGGTCTTCCACAAACGCCTGTTGTAAATCCCGCATTATTTTTTTCCTTATGGTCTTCTTCATGGACAGATGACGTTCCAAATGCTTGACGTCGTCCTCTATAACGCTGCTGCCCTTCGTCTGCCGGCCGCTCTGCCTATGCCTGTGCTGCTTCTTCTTCGGCACCTTTACTGGTAACAGATCCTCCTCGCTGGCCGAGCCCACGGATATAGCGCTATCCGTACCGGCTGCGCTGACGCCACCTAACGAGTTCCGGTCATCGCCCTGCATATCCATTCGGCGGATATCGTCTGCCACGCCGAATATGTCCCTCAGGTGCGGTATATTTCTTTCTCCGGACATGATCTGTAAAAAACAATACAAACATATTTAAAAGTCAGCAATCATTGTATTGGTGCGTGAATATTTTGTATCATTGGTGGTTTTCGGTTAATGTACTTAGTAATTTCAACAATAACGTCCGGCGAACCGTTGACGGTAATGTTCATTTAAACTTCCTACATAAGGTATACGCCTGTAAAAATATCAATTTTTCGCACCCAAGCCGACTTGACAGATTCGAGTGAACATAGCCAATCGTATTTTACGATGTCCCCGTATGCTAGCCGGTCAGTCGGTCAACAATAATATTTTTTTTTTAGTTGTTTTGTTTTGTCATATTATAACGGTCTGTCACTCCGCTCTCGGTTACCCGCAAAACCATCAACGGCATAATCGCCGCTTATACGGTATACCTATGACCCACATTAATCTATAATACAAATAATAACAACATCAAAATAATATTATGTGTGTAAATGTCATTAGGTATCTAATTACAAACGACCGACCATATCGCGCGTAATGCATAATATACGTAGGTTTTTTATTGTATATTATTTTTTATTATAATATTGTATCGGTAGCGTGCGGTCGAAGCAAACACAGTTTTTTAGTTACGAGAAGGCGGTGATACCAACATAATAACAATAATAATACCTAATTATATATTATAAACCGTAGAGGCTAAGAAGAAAAAAATCACCACTGTAATCGTGGTTACTCAAGCGTTCCCAAACGACGGTATAATGGCTGTTCGTCACAAAAAGGTCAGGAGGAATAAAATATAACAGTATACAAAGTGTCACAATGCGAATATTTCCTTTATCGACTCTCGACTTATCTACCAACTCGACTTCGTAAATCTGTCCAAAGCACACGATTGGTCGATTTCGAAAACCATTTTTTTGTTGTTTTTTTTTGTAGGAGTCTGCATTGAAAAATTAAGATCATGAGGTGCGTTGTGCAACTTATTTAGGGAGGCCTAAATCCTATGATAGATTAGACTAAGACGAGATAGGACCAACTTTTAATAACTGCATAACACAGTTCGCAATTGAATAAATAAAATACTTTATTGGGAAACCTAATTTACAGCCGTCAATAATGTTATTTAATTATTTAATCTCTTAGGATCTATTCAGCATTATCATTCATTAGAAGATAGAAATTTGAAAAAAGGTGGATCGCATGTAGTTTAGTCTCCAGCTCTACTGGAGACTAAACAACATGCGATAAATCAGATATCTGAGACATTTGTAAAATATTGCGAGCTCTCCTGTGTATTATAAATGATGTTTGTATTTTCTTTCCCGGATCACTGAACAAACAATACCCGTTCGACGCAATCGGTTACAATACGGTAAAGTTTTTTGCTAACTTCGACGTGGAGCTGAGATGGATTTTTTTTTTTATTTTAAACACCTGCTGCTTACCGTCTGCCGTGACGTGTATACCGTCTCCCGACCAACTCTAGTCGGGAGACGGTATACACACTGTGTCAGGGATCTGTCGTCTATGACTATGATAAATGGTACTCGTGGGTACTTTTTGTATGAACTATTTCGATACTATTTTTTTTAATAATTATTATTTTACATCAGTTAACGAATAGCGGAACTCGTGTATGAGAAATTGCGGGCTTTCGTAGAGAAAAAACTGCAAAAACAAAACAATGGACGGTCGACGCCATCCGGTGGCAATCAGTGCGGAAAATGGTCGCTGTGACGTAATGGCGGTCTGTGTGATTCAAGAGATGCGTTTTGTTAGTTACATGATTATAAGATGGTATAATATTATATTAAGATGTTATTTTTAAAATCGTAATTATAATCTGTAATACGTTCTGTGCCGAGGAGAAGTTGGCAAAGATTTCTTCTATGTTAATTTGATTTTTAACGCTTACAATATTCATGATTATTAATTTCAAACAAAATCCTCAACGATCATAAACGTTATCTTATAATAATAATATAAATGCATTCAAGTGCCACAAAAATCATTCGCTATGAAATAACAAGCCCTGATACTGTAGAGCTGAGAAGTATTATTTCCAAACGTATATCATTGTAAAACATAAAAAACTTGCTGTTGTTCGAGTTTTTTAACAACACTAGTTGTGCATGCTTTATCGTCAATCCTCGTCCGTCATGAAACATTTGTACGCATAATTATTAGTATTTGCATCTCTCCAAAGCGCCATATTCGTGCATAATAACTATTAAATGATGGAAATGCATTTGTCCCTAAAATAAACTCTCAGAAGTTCTCTGAAACCCGTACAGTGCACGGTAACCTGTATGGTGTTATTATAATTCTTTGTCAGCGGACTCAAGTATATTATTCAACTTTAAAACAATGTAAAATATTCTTGAGATGTACAGGATTTCGAAAATTAAATCACACACTCCATTTGTTCATAGTCCATAAAAGGTGCTAAAAATTTAAGTTTTTCCGATTTTTATTTTAAAACGATGATGTAAACAAAAATAAAATTATTCCATAATATTTCCTACAATTTTTTTAACAAATTGATATCACTAAAAAATTGTTTAATTTCTCATATATACATAAGTAATAACTATGCTCAATGATTTTGTTTACAGGAATTAGTGCAATATAAGTTATAACTCTTTTGGTCACAGTTATAACTTTTGGGAGATTTGAGATTTGACTTACAAATGTTAGTGAAAGCAGAACCCAGATGCGTCTAGTTCTACCGTGTACTGGAGACACTGTTTTAGTATTCCATAAGTTAATATTATCTGAGCGCACGGCAGTGCGCCAGGCCAAGTTCCAGCATTGCCAGTGTATCTTTACACGAACCAATTCACCCAGTGTTTCTAACCCACATATCTCTGTTTCCTCTTAAGATAAGCGTTTGAAATTTGAAACATAATTTAACTCAAGTAGCTTAGGATACAGTAAAAAATTGAGTCCTTAATAGTAAGCATTTTAAAAAGGGGAAAATTTCAAAGTTTTCATTTTTGTTACTCAACTCACTCATCATAAAAATTATAAAACATTTCCCGTATAGGTAGAAACGTGAAATTTGGCGCAAAGGCAGGTCTTATAGTGTAACTAAAGGGAAAAATCTGAAAGTTGCAATTATTTCAAAATTAATGCCGCTTTAGCGAGTGTAGTTCTAAATATGATGTGACGCACAAGAATATTGCTTGATTAGATTAGCACGGGTTTTTATTAATTAATCACAGATTCCCGCGACGTTAAAAAAAACGTTCGCTTTTAGTGTTACAATATACAAAGTCTTTTTTATGTCTCATTCAGAAAGACCCTCTTTCATTCAGAAACTGGCCAAGTGTTAAGCAATACAAATAAAAGAGCAGTATTGCTTATGAAAGTAGGAGTGAAGTGAGGTTATGAACTAAAGAAACACCAGACTTGGCCACAATGTAGATATCACTACTTTGATAGGATGACTTTTTTGGGAGGTGGTCTAGAACTTGGCCCTTTTTCACTGTTAGGTTTTTGTTGGAGATTAATATGACACTAAAAAAATATAGTTAGTAGTTACTATACTAATTAAATTAATAATTAAAGAAGATGTGTTTATCTTGTGGAACAACCTGAGATGTTGGGGATCTCATTTTTTGTTTGGCATAATGGTTGATGAAAACAGAAGCAAGCTGTACTTACGAGAACACTTTCTTGATGGAAATATTTTCGAACACTATTCAACGGTAAAGTCGGTTGCTTTTAATGTTAACTATTTCTTTGTGTTTAGGTTATTTGTAGATAGATGGGTATACCAAGTACAAATGTCCAAACCCGCCTCTGAGTGAAAGTCTAAGTTCTCCTACATTGAAACGTTGTATGGGCAATAAACATAGTATTGCACATAATTAACTCGCTTGCGCCTCGGCCAAAGTAGACGCCATGTCATGTTCGTATAATAATAATAAAAACGCTTTACCTTCATTTAATTCTGTTGTGTATGGTGTATATACATATATAAATTGTATCCCAGACATCCCTCTTAAGTGCATTATGTTACCTAAAAGATAATGCAGATGTATAAAACGATATTCATGCTCCGATTGTCTGCATGCATAAAATATAACGCAATAAATGCATAATATGCGTTAGATATGAACTACTACAGTTAAGATTTAACGGCCCAAGCTAATACTCTCTGCGTTAATATTTTGATTTTCAACAATGACACTATAATAGTAAATAAATAATATATAATAATAATACATATATTAATAACTCGTAAGACCGTGGATTCACTTTTGACCATAGATTTGCCTCACCCCTTGCCCCTAATGATGTTCTCTGATAATAATTGTCCTGTGGACTAAACATATAGAATATAGACAGGTACATACTATCTGTGAAGCATTTTAAAAAACCTCAATCGTGCTGTCCATATCATGCTAATATCGACAAGTATTAACAGCTGCTTTATTAGTGTATTATAATGATTCTAGTTTCCCAATCTTTACATCAGGAAACACCAATGCATGAAACAAATACAATATTCGAATATACGGTTGGTCAATCGCCAATCGTGGATAACAGGTATATTGATGTATACAAAAGCAACCGCACCTTAATTCAGTGGGTGTTTGGACATTTGTAATAATCCCGGTGCAGTACACATTGAAAAATTGATTGGGTGGCGATTTTCCGTATGGTCTTTAGGCTTTAGTGAAAACACAAGTTGAAATTTTGTTAAAAGTTACAAAGAAAACGATACAGGTAAATGGTCATTTAACGTTAGGTATAGTGATAAATACTGCATTGGTTAACCAGAACTTATGCAAATTCAATCGACACCACTCGATGTCGTTCAATTTATGAATAAAAACAACGTCGAAAGTCGAGCAGTCTTACTTTTTAAAAACTCGACTGGATTTCTTAAGGCGGTTCACCTACTTATGTAAATTAAACGTATACGATTTTATTTTCGACTTCGACAGTATTTATGATATTTTGTTTGGATGTAATAGTACACCCTACGTTCGATTTAGACTACTAATTATCGTTACAGTGATTTTTCT